GCAGCAGTGCCAGTGTCTCTCGAAGAGAAGGAGATGGATCTTAGATTGTGCATATCGGTACACGGTCTAGTGAGAGCTTTTTAAGCATGAGGGTGACCACTTTTTTTTTTTTTTTTTTATAGGGAAGAGAAGTAGAGGGGGAGAGATTTAATATTTGAGATAGAAAGTATAGAATAAAGGAAGACAGTGACTGGATTCTGGAGTAGTTCTGGAGAAATGTGGTCCTGGGGGCAGGTTGTTAGGTGGGTGTCAGACAGAATTATAGCAACTTCTTCTGTAGTAACTGGATCAAAGGAGGAAAGTACTGAACGTGGTGGTAGACACAGTATGCTAGGTGGAGGAGATAGCAGGAGGTCCAATGAGGACCTTAACGCTCTACGCAGATTGCGGCATAAACTGCTTCATCATGAGCAACCAGAAGTGTTAGATAGCAGCAGTGCCAGTGTCTCTCGAAGAGAAGGAGATGGATCTTAGATTGTGCATATCGGTACACGGTCTAGTGAGAGCTTTTTAAGCATGAGGGTGACCGCTTTTTTTTTTTTTTATAGGGAAGAGAAGTAGAGGGGGAGAGATTTAATATTTGAGTTAGAAAGTGTAGAATAAAGGAAGACAGTGACTGGATTCTGGAGTAGTTCTGGAGAAATGTGGTCCTGAGGGCAGGTTGTTAGGTGGGTTGCAGACAGAATTATAGCAACATCTTCTGTAGTAACTGGATCAAAGGAGGAAAGTACTGAACGTGGTGGTAGACACAGTATGCTAGGTGGAGGAGATAACAGGAGGTCCAATGGGGACCTTAAAGCTCTACGCAGCAGATTGCGGCATAAACTGCTTCATCATGAGCAGCCAGAAGTGTTGGATAGCAGCAGTGCCAGTGTCTCTCAAAGAGAAGGAGATGGATCTTAGGTCATTCAGATCGGTACAGTCTAGCGAGAATTTTTAAGTACTGAACGTGGTGGTAGACACAGTATGCTAGGTGGAGGAGATAACAGGAGGTCCAATGGTGTCTCTTGAAGAGAACAAACATTTGACTTGCCATTGGCCAGGCATAGAAAAAGGAAGCACACATGCAAGATAATGGCACTGCAACCCAATCATGCAATCAGGGCCAGCAAGAGCTTTCTGTTTCCACTCACCGTGTCTGACTTGTGGTCTCCACCTTGCAACATATGAGTCCTATGTACCTAAGTCAGCAACCAGGTGAGAATGGATAACATTTCTCTTTATTTCCTCCAAGGAGTGCACATATCTCAAACAGAGCCAACACTACTGCATTTCTCGAGGTAAGAGAAATTTTGTTCATCCCCACCTGGTTGCCAACTTAATCTAAATCGGGGGGTCAGCAATCTGTAGATTGTGATCTACTAGCAGATCGTGGCCAAGTGACTGACCCATCCCAGATCATGAAACAGAGTGCAACGTAGGGGAACTACTTGTAAAGTTGGAGCTGCAGTAAGCAGCAAGAGCCGCATAAGCCGATGCCTCCTCTGTATTGCCGGCTCCTGTCCCATGTGGAGTGACCCCAACTGCACTCTATCTATTATCCCAGCTAGCGCTCTCCAGAGTGAGCAGGAAAGAAGAGATCTTCAGGTCAGTGTGAAGCAATTGCAGCACAGTAGTAAGGCAATTAAAGGTTAAGGCCCCATGTACAGGGGACACTTCTGAACGATGGAAACTGACAGCTGGAAAACGTAGGTTAAAAAATGTCTGTTTAGCTACGTTTGCATACCGCATTTATGTGCGTTTGCATTTAGAAGCGTTTTTTTAAAGATAAGCACAGGAGAACCTCCCAAATGCCCAGAAAGCACTGACAAGTGGTAAATTATTAACTATTTCAGACTGTTTCAGAGAAATACGGAGAGTAGAAGCAGAGACAGCAGTATGTGTTGAGATTAGCTTAGGTGTGAGTTGCTCATTAACATTTCTTTTGTTTCCAAGGGTGGGAAAGGTGTCTGGTGGAGGGAGTCATTAAGGCCACCTGGCAGGGGGTCTTCATGAGGAATTTGAGATGTGAATGGTCATTAACATATCTTTTGTTTCTAAGGGTGGGAGAGGTCTGAGGTGTGAATGGTCATGAACATATCTTTTGTTTTCAAGGGTGGGAGAGGTCTGAGGTGTGAATTGGTCATTACAATGTGTGACGAGCTTGGTGAGAACATCCTGTGTTCAGTGTTTTGTCCATCAAAGTACCTTGAAAATGCTTTGCATGCATTTTTCATGATGAAAAAAAGACTCTGGACCGCATCGGGAACTGGAAGAGTTAAAAAAACTTTTCAAACACTTATAAACGCAATATGCCGCGTTTACAAGTGTTTCGCATTTGAAACGCTGATAAAATCGACTGCTGAATGCAAGTTTTCTGCGTTCAGAAAAACGACTGTAAACTCATGATGAAAAAAGACTCTGGACAGCATCGGGAACTGGAAGAGTTAAAAAAAAAATTTCAAACGCAAACGCTTATAAACGCGATTTGCCACGTTTACAAGCGTTTTAAACGCTGATAAAATCGACTACTGAACGCAAGTTTTCTGCATTCAAAAAAACGACTGTAAACTCAACTGCCTGTGAACGACTGTAAATGAAGATGTGTACATGGACATATAGGAAAACATTAGGGGGAGTTCAGGGGCTGCTGAAAAAAGACGCTGAACAGCTCCTAAACGTGAGTTTCTCAGCTGCAGTGTACATGAGCCCTTAAATCAGGTGTGAGGAGGCGACGCTGTGCCCGGTGATCCATGACTTCTCCCATGTTGTTTAGGTAGATCTCCACCTCTTTAAGGTTCCCTACCCCTGATCTACATAAAAGGACACAAACGGGAAGCCATCCTTTAAATAAAAATCAGGTGTATATTATCATGAGTACAGTTGCTATGAATCACATAATATATCTATGTTATTGTCATTTTGATGTGATAAAACTATTTTTGTTGTAATGACTTATAGGCAGACTGCTCACCACTCCCCGACTCTGCCTCACCTATACCTAATCCCTACCGACTCTACACAGGAGCCCGGCCGTGGCCCCGTGTGCACGGGATTTAACACATGAGTCACCCAGACATACAGGGCCGCCTCCCGCTGTGTGTACCTGTCTGTACGCTGCCATCATTTTTACCAGTCTGGCTTCATAAAACTTTTATTATGTTTGATGAAGCCATCCGTAATGGAAGCGTCTGGACTTAATTACTGGTCACTGAGGCCAGTTCACTGAGAGGACGGAGTTGTTTTATAGAAGGTGTCAACACTGGATGACATTTAGTTTGCGAAAGTACTATGTATCATAAAGTATTGTCATGTGTTATTTTTTTTTTTGTTTACTTTTTTTTTTTTTAATCCCTTGTTGCAACTCATCACCTTCAGCCTCTTTGCAACCACTTGCTGGCTACATGTTCTCCAGGGATGGCTGCATGGCATTTCCAAGGATGGGTTTCCTGATAGCGCAAGCCTGCACAATGTGTGCTAGCATGGATGCTTGCGGTCTCCATCACATGTGACAGGCTGACATTGCAGAGGGCAGTTGTCACTCCATAACAGGAAGTTCCAACACGTTTTTTATGTTTGATCTCAAGGCCTGTTTCACTCGGGCTTCAGCTTGTATAAGAGCAGTGTGAACAGCAAGTTTTGTCAAGCATTTGAAGAGCTTTGCTGACGCTTTTAGCCTGTGTTCACATATGTGCGGCGCGGTACATCGCATGTGATTCGCATAGGAACCGCACCGTATTCCTGTGCAAATCACATGTGAATTCTGTGCGGTGCGATTTGAGCCATACATTTTGTATGGCTCTAATCGCACCGCACCCGCACCAGAAACGTGCAGGACCCTTTTTTGGGTCCGCACTAGAATCGGATCGCATGGGTATTCACACCTATGCGATCCGATTCTGCACATTGCACCGCGTTTTGGGGTGTTGTTAACTTAACCTCTTCACGCCGGACGAACGCAAATGTGCGGCCTCCCGGCGTCTGGGCCTAGATGCTGAGCGGCCGCACATTTGCGTCCTATTAAAAAAGGACACGTGCCAAGAGCGCACACCCTGCACGCTCCCGACACACATGTCCGTTACTCACAGAAAGGTCCCGATCTCCTCTTTCGATCGGGACCTTTCCCGATCATGTGACCGCCGTGACGACGCATCACGGCGGTCACATGACCCTAAACCCCGCCCCCTGGCTTCTGAAACTCTTAAAGGGCCAGGAGGCGCCGGCGTGAAGGGGTTAACATACACACCCCCGCAAAGGTTCACATGAACGGGGTGTGATTGGGATGCGGTGCGAAATTCGCAATGAAAACGCTGCAAATTCCGCACCGCATCAGTGTGAACCTGGGCTTAAAGTACCATTGAGCTCCAGTTTGTAAATGTTGAACACAGATCCTAATAGGAGTGTTAATTGCCACTTAAAACAAGCTGCTAGCAGGCTTCAGCAGGCTTTCAAGAAGTGCTGAAGCCTGCTAGCAGCTTGTTTAAAGTGGCAATCAGCAATCCTATTAGGATCTGTGTACAACATTTACAAACTGGAGATGAATGATACTTTAAACGCATCAATAAAGCTTGCTGAAAGCTCTGCAGATGCTTTGCCAAAGCTTGCCGTTCACACTGCTGTTATACAAGCCGAAAACCCGTGTGAAATAGACTTTTCATAGAGCGGTAGTTTGGGGGCAGCAGAGTGGTTAGCTCTTCTGCATTTCAGCACTTATTAGTTCGAATCCCAACCACAACCCTACCTACATGGAGTCTGCAGGTAGGTGTCCACTGCATACTCCAGCTTTCTCCCACACTCAAAAACATGCTGGCTCCTGCCTAAATGGGCCCCTAGTATGTGTATGTAGGCATGTGAAGTAGGTGCCTTAGATTGTAAGCTCCTTAGGCATACATTGCCTGTGCAATGTACAGCAGTATCTTGCTGCCTTTCTATCTGATTATCATTACCTATTTATCACCTATCTGTCCACACAGGTCCTAGATTGGCGTTCCTACTGTTAATATTTGTTCTCTGTATTATAGCTGAAGAAGACTCTGGAACTACTTCAGGAAGCAGAAGCTGAGAAAGAGGAGCTGAAGCAGAGGTGCCAGGAGCTGGACCTCCAGGTGAGGTAGTGCTCATATATGCTGCTGAGCCTCCATGGTTGAAAGAACTGAAATCGAGTTAATGAAAGGGGCGGGCCAGGGACAGTCAGGCTGGGGAGGAAAGTACGAAATGATGCTGGATGTCCTGCAGCCAGGAAATGAGGCGGAGCTCTGTCTGACTTGATGCAGCTTCTAATGCACATTGTGAGAAGCTCACAGTGTGCAGTGAAATCAGAGGAAGCCATTTCAGTCCAGGGGAGGAGCCGGTACACCTGTGCAAGACTGAAGGGGAGGAGCCGGTACACCTGTGCAAGACTGAAGGGGAGGAGCCGGTACACCTGTGCAAGACTAAAGGGGAGGAGCCGGTACACCTGTGCAAGACTAAAGGGGAGGAGCCGGTACACCTGTGCAAGACTAAAGGGGAGGAGCCGGTACACCTGTGCAAGACTGATGGGGAGGAGCCGGTACACCTGTGCAAGACTAAAGGGGAGGAGCTGGTACAACTGTGCAAGACTGATGGGGAGGAGCCGGTACACCTGTACAAGACTAAAGGGGAAGAGCCGGTACACCTGTGCAAGACTAAAGGGGAGGAGCTGGTACAACTGTGCAAGACTGACGGGGAGGAGCCGGTACACCTGTGCAAGACTGGAGAGGAGGAGCCGGTACAACCTGTGCAAGACTGAAGGGGAGGAGCCGGTACACCTGTGCAAGACTGAAGGGGAGGAGCCGGTACACCTGTGCAAGACTGAAGGGGAGGAGTTGGTACACCTGTGCAAGACTGGAGGGGAGGAGCCGGTACACCTGTGCAAGACTGGAGGGGAGGAGCCGGTACAGCTGTGCAAGACAGAAGGGGAGGGTGCAGGCCAGATTTAGGGCCCCAATGACACCTGTGCATGTACATGCATTTTTAATGCACACACGTGAATTCACATAACATGATGCACATATGTAACTATTTTTTGTATGCATTTATTAAGCAGTGGACTGGGTTCTAGAGTATGGCTGCCTTACTTACAATTCTTTTTTTCTGTCTCGGCAACGTGCATAAGAACAAACTTCAAGTACTCACAGATACTCAGGGCTCAGAAACTAAAACTGGGTTTTAAAGAGAAGCATGGGAATAAAAAAACTAAACATGCACTATATATTGCCAAAATTATTGGTTGGCCTGCCTTTCCCTGCACATGATCTTTAATGGCCCCCCCAGTCTTAGTCCGTAGGGTTCAATATTGAGTTGGCCCCGCCCTTTGCAGCTATAACAGCTTCAACTCTTCTGGGAAGGCCGTCCACAAGGTTTAGGAGGGTGTCTATGGGAAGGTTGGACCATTCTTCCAGGAGCACATTTGTCAGGTCAGGCACTGATGTCGGGGGAGGAGGCCTGGCTCGCAGTCTCCGCTCTAATTCATCCCAAAGGTGTTCTATGGGGTTGAGGTCAGGACTCTGTGCAGGACAGTCAAGTTCCTCCACCCCAAACTGGCTCCTCCATGTCTTTATGGACCTTGCTTTGTGCATTGGTGCGCAGTCAAGTTGGAACAGGAAGGGGTCATCCCCAAACTCTTCCCACAAAGTTGGGAGCATGAAATTGTCCAAAATGTCTTGGTATGCTGATGCTTTAAGAGTTCCCTTCACTGGAACTAGGGGGCCAAGCCCAACCCCTGAAAAACAACCCCACACCATAATTCTCCATCCACCAAACTTTACACTTGGCACAATGCAGCCAGGCAAGTACTGTTTTCCTGGCAACCACCAAACCCAGACACGTCCATCGGATTACCAGACAGAGAAGTGTGATTGGTCACTCCAAAGAACACATCTCCACTGCTCTAGAGTCCAGTGGCGGCGTGCTTTACACCACGGCATCCAACGCTTTGCATTGCACTTGGTGATGGAAGGCTTGGATGCAGCTGCTCGGCCATGGAAACCCATTCCATGAAGCTCTCTACACACTGTTGTTGGGCTCATCTGAAGGCCACACCAAGTTTGGAGGTCTTTAGCTATTGACTCTGCAGACAGTTGGTGACTTCTGCGCACTGTGCGCTTCAGCATGCGCTGACCCCGCCCTGTCATGTGCCGTGGCCTACCACTTGGTGGCTGAGTGGCTGTTGTTCCCAGTTGCTTCCACTTTGTTATAATCCCACTAACAGTTGAGCGTGGAATATTTAGTAGCCAGGAAATGTCACGGATGGACTTATTGCACAGGTGACCACCTATCACGGGACCACGCTTGGTGTCACTGAGCTCCTGAGAGCGACCCATTCTTTCACCAATGTTTGTAGAAGCAGTCTGCATGCCTTGGGGCTTGATTGTATACACCTGTGTCCATGGAGGGGATTGGAACATCTGAATCCATTGATTTGGAGGGCGGGCCCAATACTTTTGGCAATATAGTGTATTTATTTACCAAGATGGCTGCAACATCGATCCAGTGCTCTAAGCCAAAGAACTGAGCAATCACATGACCACTGATCGCAGAACTCTCAGACTTCAGAAAGCAGAGCAGGTGACTGCTATTCACTGGCTCTCTGTGTGCACTGGTGCGCAGTCATGTTGGAACAGGAAGGGGCCATCCCCAAACTCTTCCCACAAAGTTGGGAGCATGAAATTGTCCAAAATGTCTTGGTATGCTGATGGCTTAAGAGTTCCCTTCACTGGAACTAGGGGGCCAAGCCCAACCCCTGGAACGCTGGGCTGTGGAGGGGGCGGGAGGTGCTGGCTAAGGCTCTCAATCTGCCTCGAAGAGGCTGAGCCAGCTGCTGGGTAGACATCTGGGCGTATCCCGACATTATTGTCAGGATCCCTTTAGATCCTGAACCAGCACTGTGATGTCAGCTGACAGCCGGCAGAACTAAGTGCACTACTGTGACCCACAGGAGAAGTAGGGCCAAAAGAACTCCTTTAAGCCACAGCACATTGGCGATTGGTACTGTTCTAGCATTATACTGATAACGGGGTCTAATTCAGATGTGCCGCTACCTGGCGGTGAGGGAGGACATGCACTGTTAGTGGGCTTTGAGCTGCCCGTCCTGTCTCTTTTCACAATCTGTGTGTACACTGTACTCATTGCATATATTAAGATAATGTAGTTGTTAATGAGTAACGTGGATATCAGGCTTGATGATCACATTGGCCAATACCGCTGGCTTCGCTCCCACACCTCGTGCCAGATCAATCGCTTTGTATTTGCTGCCCTTGACATGTGGCTCCGTCCATTGCTGCAGTTTTTAGAAGATTACCCCTTACATAAGGACGCTCCAGGTTATACAACTGACCTTTTCATTAACCTGAATCTGAGATCAAAGCCCAGGCGTTCAATCTACGGCTTTACCTTCCATTCAATTAGCTGCTTCCCTGACCGATGTACAATGTGTTCGACCTGTCCCATAGCCACGCTTAAAGGACGGAAGAACAAAACCCCCCAATATTGCCACAAAGGAAAAAAAAAATAGTTTCCAATCCCCCCCCCCCCATCCAAATTAAGTGATATTGTCTCCCTAGGTCAGGTTATTGCTCCATTATTTATTTCAGGTACTTATATAGAGCCGTCAATTTACACGCAGCACTTTATATACATTCACATATTAACCCTCAAGTACATTAAGGTCAACCCTCAAGGGGCGTCAATCTAAGGTCCCTAACCCTCAAGGGGTGTACAATACAATCTAAGGTCCCTAACCCTCAAGGGGTCAATCTAAGGTCCTCTAACCCTCAAGGGGTCAATCAAGTTCCCTAATTACACATACATACATACACATACTAGGGCTAATTTAGAAGGAGCCAATTAACCTACCAGCATGTCTTTGGAGTGTAGGAGGAAACCGGAGTACCCGGAGGAAACCCACGCAGGCACAGGGAGAACATGCAAACTCCAGGCAGGTGGTGCCATGGTTGGGATTCAAACCAACGACCCCAGTACTGCCAGGCGGAAATGCTAACCATTTAGCCACTGTGCTGCCCAAACCCTAAAATCTTATATAAGCAATTATTTTAAAAAAAAAATTCCAATGATTGTGTTATCCGAGGAAGCCATTTCAGTCCAAGGGAGGAGCCGCTACAACTGTGCAAGACTGGAGGGGAGGAGCCGGTACACCTGTGCAAGACGGGAGGGGAGGAGCCGCTACAACTGTGCAAGACTGGAGGGGAGGAGCCGGTACACCTGTGCAAGACGGGAGGGGAGGAGCCGCTACAACTGTGCAAGACTGAAGGGGAGAAGCCGGTACAACTGTGCAAGACTGGAGGGGAGGGGTGCAAGGAGGGGAGGAGCCGGTACAACTGTGCAAGACTGGAGGGGAGGAGCCGGTACACCTGTGCAAGACTGGAGGGGAGGAGCCGGTACAACTGTGCAAGACTGGAGGGGAGGAGCCGGTACAACTGTGCAAGACTGAAGGGGAGGAGCTGGTACACCTGTGCAAGACTGGAGGGGAGGAGCCGGTACAACTGTGCAAGACCGAAGAGGAGAAGCCGGTACAACTGTGCAAGACTGAAGAGGAGAAGCCGGTACAAACTGTGCAAGACTGGACGGGAGGAGCCAGTACACCTACGCAAGACTGGAGGGGAGGAGCCAGTACACCTGTGCAAGACTGAAGGGGAAGAGCCGATACACCTGTGCAAGACTGGAGGGGAGAAGCCGGTACACCTGTGCAAGACTAGAGGGGAGGAACCGGTACACCTGTGCAAGACTGGAGGGGAGGAGCCGGTACACCTGTGCAAGACTGGAGGGGAGGAGCCGGTACACCTGTGCAAGACTGAAGGGGAAGAGCCGATACACCTACGCAAGACTGGAGGGGAGGAGCCAGTACACCTGTGCAAGACTGAAGAGGAGGAGCCTGTACACCTGTGCAAGACTGAAGGGGAAGAGCCGATACACCTGTGCAAGACTGGAGGGGAGGAACCGGTACACCTGTGCAAGACTGGAGGGGAGGAACCGGTACACCTGTGCAAGACTGGAGGGGAGGAGCCGGTACACCTGTGCAAGACTGGAGGGGAGGAACCGGTACACCTTGTGCAAGACTGAAGAGGAGGAGCCGGTACACCTGTGCAAGACTGGAGGGGAGGAGCCGGTACACCTGTGCAAGACTGAAGGGGAAGGCTGGAGATCAGCTTTACTGCTGCGCATTGTAAACACGTTTGTTACCGCAATTCACACGTATGAACAGGTCCTGAAGCAATAGATAACATAGAGAAGTAGCTCCCAGTTAGCATTTTTACATTACCATTGATAGATGTTATAAATTGTTCTCATGGAAGATAGCTAGTTTATATGTTAGATTTAGTGTTTGGCTTACACCTCAGAAAATCACCCCCCCCCCCCCCCCAGCCTGTACAGCGATATCTGCGTGTTGTATCTGCAGAATGTTGCATGTATGCCCAGAACTCTCATGCACACCTATTCCGCATGGCCTCTTGGCTTCAGGTTCCACGCTATTTATAGAGATTCTTAAGCAAACAGATAGAGATATCATTTCAGCAGATCTTTGTGTGATCACGTCCTCTTACTGCATCTTCCAAATCAAACAGTTGCATATTGTCAATGATACTTTTTTTTTTTTATTTGCACTAACCGTTAAATTTTCTGGACAAGCTGTCAAGGGGGTTTCTACCTCTTTTTTCTAGATCCAAGTAGTACTGATGCAAAGGTTTAGTACATGGACTGAGAAGGTGGGGTACCCCCCCCCCCCCCCAAAAAAAGCTGGTCTTGAAACTGTAACCATTGGTGCTAAGAATAAAGTATTACAGACCCTACTCAACAGTGCTGGTATTAATACAGTTACCTTAAGGAAAAGAAACATTCTTTTGAGGACATTGAGGTGCTCAGAGAGGACAACTGGATCACAAGACCCATGAAAGAGGACATCTGCATCAAATTGGAACATCCCAACAGCGGTGTGGGGCTTTCAACACCAATTTCCACCATCTTCCACATTCAATGCCATTCTATCATCTCTACATTGGAGATTTAACAACAATTCACATCTTCAGACATGCGACTAGAAGGATTACCACCTATGCAGACACTCTAAGATGGACTTGTATGACTAGAATAAGATGGTTCCACAATTTTCACACCTTCAATCTTGCTCTTAGACAATCAACATCTGCCTTGACACATTCAACAGTGATTGGATTAAGGTGTCTGTGCTACCTATGTGTGGATATTTATGTTGGGGTATGTTCCCGACACTCTCATTAGAACCAAAGAAGTGGTTTGGAGAAGCTATGAAACATCTTCAGCATTATAGAACAAGTTCAGTTGAATGTGACTAACTATTCATACCTCTACCATGACATGGATAATTGAGAACATTCAAAGACATTAGGTCAAGCTTTTCAAACTGCTCATTGAGTCATCTCAGGAACATAATTGTGGCATGAAGCATGCTGATCTATTATATGGTATTTTTGCCTCTCCGTGCAGGGGTCTAGATTCAACTACCATCTGATAATATTAGTAAAAGAATGTGTCCTGTAGGTTTGTAGGGGGGATGGAGAATGGAATCGCAGTGCACAGCAATTGATACAGGCCTCAAACATTTCTGAAAGTGTATGATGAAAATAGAGAGAAGGTAGGAGACAAAGGGCGCTTGGAAAGGGGATTAAGAGACACAGGCTGCTGGAGAGGAGAGGTAGAAGACATGGGCCATTGGAAGGGGAGGCTCGAAACATGAGCCACTGGAAAAAGAGATATAGGAGAAATGAGCTTCTGGAGGGCTGAGGTAGAAGATGCAGGATGCTAGAGAGGGGAGGTAGGAGACGTGGTCTGCTGGAGAGTGAAAGTAGAAAATGCTGACTGCTGGAGGGAGGAGGTAGACTTCACAGGCCACTGGAGAGGGGAGGTCGGCAATAAGGGGGCTGCTGAAGAGAAGAGTTGGGAGACATGGGGCTCTGAAGAGAAGAGGTAGAAGACATGAGCTGCTGAAGAAGAGAGGTAGAAGATATGGGGCACTGGAGAGGAGACGTAGAAGACACAGGATGCTGAAGAGGAGAGGCAGAAGATATGGGGCACTGGAGAGGAGAGGTAGAAGACACAGGCCACTGAAAAGGAGAGTTAGGAGACATGGGGTACTGGAAGGGAGAGGTAGAAGACACCGGAAGCTGAAGAGGAGAGTAGAAGACATGGGCCATTGGAAGGGGAGTCTCAAAACATGAGCCACAGGAGAGGAGAGATAAGAGACATGAGCTTCTGAAGGGCTGAGGTAGAATATACAGGATTCTAGAGGGGAGGTAGGAAATATGGTCTGCTGGAGAGGGAAAGTAGGAAATGCAGACTGCTGGAGAGGGGAGGTAGACTACACAGAGCACTGGAGAGGGGAAGTCGGCAATAAAAGGGCTGCTGAAGAGGAGAGGTAGGAGACATGGAGCACTGGAGAAAAGAGGTAGAAGACATGAGCCGCTGAAGAGGAGATGTAGGAGGCATGGGGCACTGGAGAGGAGAGGTAGAAGACACAGGCCGCTGAAGAGGAAAAGTAGGAGGCATGGGACACTGGAGAGGAGAGGTAGAAGACACAGGCCGCTGAAGAGGAGATGTAGGAGGCATGGGACACTGGAGAGAAGATGTAGAAGACATGAGCCACTGAAGAGGAGAAGTAGGAGACATGGGCACTGGAGAGGAGAAGTAGAAGACACAGGCTGCTGAAGAGGAAAGGTAGGAGACATGGGGCACTGGAGGGAGAGGTAGAAGACACAGGCCGCTGAAGAGGAGAGGTAGGAGGCATGGGGCACTGGAGAGATAAGGTAGAAAACATGAGCCACTAAAGAGGAGAGTAGGAGACATTGGGCACTGGAGAGGAGAGGTAGAAGACATGAGGCACTGGAGAGGGGGAGGGTAGAAGACACAGGTCACTGGAGAAAGGAGGTAGGAAACTTCGTCTGCTGGAGAGGGGAAGTTTGGAGACATACTACCTATTATTCAAACATGCCAATGGGTCACTGCTTGCTGCTTCTCACATATAAAAAAGCTCCCAGGGAGACTCAAAATTAGGCTCCATATCCACATGAACTCACCTATTCGTTAAACTCTCCTGGCAGCAGAAAACCGCTAAACGTGGCAAAAATGTGTGTAAATGCGGTACCTGAATCCCTACTACCGCGTTTAGCCGCGTTAGCGCTTGGACGTTTATCCATTTGATTGGCCAGAGTATTTTCCATTGACACGGATAAACACCCAAGACCTAAACGCGGCTAGCGTTTAGACACGCTTAGCCACATTTACACGCGTTTTTGCTGCGTTTAGCATTTTTTTGGCCAAAACGTTCCTCTCCTGAATTATTCTTCGTTCAGAAGAGGAACGTTTAACTGCCCCTAAACTCTGGTAAAAGCCTCTGTGTACATGGACATATAGGCTTTTATTTAAATTGAGTTCAGGGACTTTGGCAAAACAAAAACGCCAAAAGCTCCTAAAGTCACGTTTAGAAGCAGCAGTGTACATGAGGCCTAAAACTCCAGGCAGGCATGGAACACACGCATTACTACTGCAGCTCTGTGTTTATTAATACACCATTAAATGTATAGATTTGTAATTCAGCAGTGTAAGTACCTGAGATTGACGTGGTGTCAGTCTCTGGCAGTCCCTGTACAGCAGGGCTCAGACTTGGAGAGGCAGAAGCAGCATAAAGATGCAATCAGCTGCAGTAATCATATGCTAGCAAGGTGCATGCATGAGAAGAGTGACATAGAGATAACCTCCTTCATCTGCTGCTTCTCCTTTCACAGACCAGTCACAGACTGGGCACAGTACAAGACTCGCTAAGGGAACTTAACTGCGGCCGAGGAAAATCAGGTCTCTTCTCCTGCCACACAGGCTGTGTGGCAGAGCTGTGTAACCTAGTACTGGATGGACAGAAATACACATATTTTGTCGGCCAAATAAGCCCTTATATTTGTATTTCATTAGCGTAATTAGCTGTTTGTCAGCTTTAAACCTGACACAGTCTTTATTTTGGACAATAAATAAAATATGGTGCATTCAGAAAAATTAGTTTTTTCTTAAATTTTTTTTTATTTTTTTTTTTGTTGTTGCTACAAAGCACATGTTGACAGGATGAGAGAGCAGAGTGACGGAGAGATGAGCTCATCACTGCGCTGCTTCTCCTTTCAATGTCCAGTCATAGTCCGGAGCAGAAATCGGTTTAATTATGCTGGCTGTCAGTCAACCTAGACCAGTGTTTCTCAACCTTTTTTTCAGGCAAGGCACCCTTTAAAATTATGAACAGTCCCGAGGCACCCTTTAAAATGATGGACAGTCTTTAGGCACCCCATTCTAAAATTGGGTGCCTCAAGACTGGTCATCATTTTAAAAGGGCCTCCCATTCTAAAATGTGAAAAAAAAAAAACGATTCTGATAGTTTATATGATGCAGCAACATCCACACACGTAGGACACCCAATGTTAGAGGTGATTTTTTTTCCTGTAAAGCAAATACACTTTTGCCCACTGGTACTGACTAGTATTCCCTTATGTTTCTCTTCTCCCTCAGTTTTTCTCCATTACTGAGCTAATGTGACCCCAGCACTGATGGAGAGAGACAGGGGAGGTCAAACTAGGATGCTGTGCAGGCAACTGACATCCTCCTTATCAACTGATGATGTCATTGGTTGTTAGGACGCCAGCGGCTAGAAGGTTGTGATGGTCACAATGAAAACCTGTGGCTTTGTGTAACTAAAAGGCTTGTATACAAAGTTTGGGGCAATTTTTAGACATTTTGCCAAGGCACCCATGAAGAAACCTCAAGGCACCCATGAAGAAACCTCAAGGCACCCCAGGGTGTGCACCCTTGAGAAAGGCTGACCTAGACGTCTGTGGACATCTAGTGGCAGGAAAAAGGTACTGAAAGGGACAGCTCCAAATTGAATCAGAGTTCTGCTCTAATGCAGCCTTGTGCATTTGAATCCGATTGGTGATACAGGAGGCTTCAGGGGAAGAAATTACACAGCAAAGGCTTCAGGCAGTACACTCCCAGTGATCCTTTTATACAGGCCGCACATGGTTCGAATTCCGAAAGATTTTTTCGTCCGAAAATCGAAAAAGTCGTTCGCTCGGTAATCCAGTGGTGCCAATAATGATTTCGAAAATTGGCTGACCGAGTCATAAAGTTCACCCCATATAACAGGCGAAACTTCTGTTCCTTCCAGGTCATGGCTCACGCGCATATTCTTTTTGGAAAAACAATCGTACGATTTGACCGTCATTGAGTCGAAAATCAGTAGTTTTTCACGAATTTTCCAACATGCCTAATCACCGAAAAGGGGAGGAACCAAGAAAATCGTCCGGTGCCATTGACCCACTAACAGAGCGAAATTCGGCCGATTATTCTAAGGTCCGATTTTCGGACAAAAAATCGGTCGAATTTCGATCCATGTATGGGAGGCCTTAGGTGCTCTCTGAATTCCAGCTGCAGTGGGTTAACCCCCCTGGCGGTATTCCCGAGTGTAGCTCGGGGTAAAGTTTCAGCACCACAAGCGGTAACCCCCGCCGAGCTACACTCAGGAATACACTGCAGCATTGCTCCGGGATCTCTTCTTCGCTTACCTTGTCCTGCGCTCCCCGCGATGTCCCCCCTGCAGTGTCCCCAGCAATGTCCTCCGGCCGATGCCGGCATCCAGGCTTCCGTGTTCCGGTCCCTGCGAGCGTCGGGACGTACAGGGGTCGGAACCAGCGGCAAATTTAAAAATGTCAAAAACTGACATTTTCTAATACACTAAAATCACATAGTATAACATTCCTGTATCAAACCATTTCACATACATTTTGTCCCGAGTGCTTTGTCGGCGCCCTGCCTGCATTTTTACTGTTCTTTCTGCCTGGAAACTGAGAAACATCCATGGCGTCCAAAAAGCGTCCCTTTAGGTCAAAATCAGTTTTAGACCGGCTAGAGAACAGCGATAGTAAATCAGAACCACTTGCAGAATTGAGTGATAATGATTCGTGGGGGAAATTCCTCATCAGACACTGAAAACGATTCTGCGACTGAGCTCAGCGATGTGCGAACTTGGCGCTATATTTCACATTTCAGTGTTTTTGGTTTGATGATATTATTGAATTAAATGTATTATTATTATATTGTTATTTTTTATGATTATTTAATAAATTATAATTTATGATTTCAAGTTTTATCATCCCCGGGATGTTTACTAGACTCTTGTTCGGACAGATTTCAGTGAGTTATTCCTAAAAATTACAGGCCTACAATAAAAAAACAACATATTTCCATGCAAAAAAATGTACCGCTTTCAGCACAGAAATATGGACATAATCAGACCGCTAGGGAGGTTAACCACCTCCCGTCCAGCCCATGTATATAAACGGCCGGACGGTGGCAGTGCAGGGTCAGGTGACCATTTATAAATGGCCTCCCCGCACATTGCTTGTGCGCGCTCCCAGTGGAATACCGATCGACGGACGTGACCTCTGTACGAGGTCCAGATCATGTGATCACTGATTGGCCAATCAGTGATCACATGCAGAGTAGTAAGCAAGATGTCTCTTCTGAAATCATTGCTTACTACGTGTGAAATCTGTGAATGATCACAGAGGTCATATGGTACAAGGCTATTCACAACAGCCTTGTACTATGTGACAAGCTGTGACCAATCACAGCTCACTCAGTAGTTCTCAATGGCTGCAAGAATGCAGCCAGAGAGAAGGAGAAATTATTGTTACATCCTTTATGGGTGTAAAAGCAATCAGTGTAAAAATAAAAAAAAAATCTTCATCACCCCCCACAAGTAGTACAGTGTCACCATGGTGACACTATACTGCTAGGGTGCCAGTATGTAAAAAAAATAATAAGAAGAAATAAGAAAAAAAATTTAAAAACAAGTTTAAAAATTATAATTTTTGGTTATAAACTAATTTGGATTATTTTGTTTTTTACTAAAAATATAACGGAATAAATTTTGGCCAAGATTTATGATGAAATACTATTTATTTGCAAAATTTTATAAGAAAAAGACTTTTTTTCAAAATTTTTGGACATTTAATTGACATAGCAAAAAAAATAAAAATCCCAGTGGTGCAATGAAATACCACCAAAATAAAGCTTTATCTGTCTCAAAAAAATGCTAAAAAATTGGGTACAGTGTTGCATGACCGCGCAATTGTCACTCAAAGTGTGATAGTGCTAAAAGCTGAAAATTGGCCTGGACAGGAAGGGGGGGAAAGTGTCCGGACTGGAAGTGGTTAAAGAACACTTAGATTCAGGTGAATTGAGCGGAATCCTTACTTTAGCACAGTTGTAGTGTTTGCTGGATCTCATTCATCGCTCACTGATTGGTTTCATCTGCTTCCCAGTTCTAGAATGGTACATATTCCAAAATTATTCCATTTGATTTTGCTGTCGCACAGTCATAGTTATTCAGCGTTTCAGGCTCTCCAAATACCCAACAATGGACCATCTGTATCCTATGTGAATGTCACTGGTATAATGAATAAATATTTAATCATTTGACAATTTGAGCTCCTATTGCAATACTAAAGTTTGCTGAATGTGCCTTAAAGTACAGATAATTCATCGATTGTCTCCTTCACCAGGTGACCGGCCTTCAGGAGGAGAGAAACAGCTTATTGGCTGAAAACGAGGTGCAGAATGAAAGGATAAACCAATTAGACTCCTTCGATGAACCTTCCAATATGGCAGCTAAAAAATATTTTCAGACCCAGCTGGATCATCTACAGGAAGAAAATTACAGGTATGAACGAGCCGGGCCCTCTGATTCCCTCCTGTACCAAATTGTATTGTAACTGTCATGTCTGCCTTCATTTTAAAAAGCGCTGCGCAGACTGTTGGAGCGATATAAATCCTGTATAATAATGGGGTCCAAACTCACCGGAGCCTCCAAGCCACCATAATGTCTTTGTACTGAGAACTTTAGATATCAGGAGTATTACAACCCTGGTGCCCAGTCTGTGCATGCAGATCCTTGAAAACGAGATTACTACCAAGGCTTTCTTCATATTATTTAACCACTTCCAGTCCAGACACTTTCCCCCCCTTCCAGTCCGGACACTTTCACCCCCTTCCAGTCCGGACACTTTCACCCCCTTCCAGTCACACTTTCACCCCCTTCCAGTCCGGACACTTTCACCCCCTTCCAGTCCGGACACTTTGCCCCCCCTTCCAGTCCGGACACTTTGCCCCCCCTTCCAGTCCGGACACTTTCCCCCCCTTCCAGTCCGGACACTTTCCCCACCTTCTAGTCCGGACACTTTCCCCCCCTTCCAGTCCGGACACTTTCCCCCCCCTTCCAGTCCGGACACTTTCCCCCCCTTCCAGTCCGGACACTTTCCCCCCCCTTCCAGTCCGGACACTTTCCCCCCCTTCCAGTCCGGACACTTTCCCCCCCTTCCAGTCCGGACACTTTCCCCCCCCTTCCAGTCCGGACACTTTCCCCCCCTTCCAGTCCGGACACTTTGCCCCCCCTTCCAGTCCGGACACTTTGCCCCCCCTTCCAGTCCGGACACTTTGCCCCCCCTTCCAGTCCGGACACTTTCCCCCCCTTCCAGTCCGGACACTTTCCCCCCCTTCCAGTCCGGACACTTTCCCCCCCTTCCAGTCCGGACACTTTCCCCCCCCCTCCAGTCCGGACACTTTCCCCCCCCCTTCCAGTCCGGACACTTTCCCCCCCTTCCAGTCCGGACACTTTCCCCCCCTTCCAGTCCGGACACTTTCCCCCCTTCCAGTCCGGACACTTTCACCCCTTTCCAGTCCAGACACTTCCCCCCCCCCTTCCAGTCCGGACACTTTATGCCACACCCCTTCCTGCCCAGGCCAATTTTCAGCTTTCAGCGCTATCACACTTTGAATGACAATTGCGCGGTCATGCAATACTGTACCAATATGAACTTTTTAGCATTTTTTTTAGACAGATAAAACTTTATTTTGGTGGTATTTATTCACCGCTGGGATTTTTATTTTTTTTTTGCTATATAAATGAAATAGTCCGAAATTTAGAAAAAAAGTGTTTTTCTTATAAAATTTTGCAAATAAATAATCTTTCTTCATAAATCTTGGCCATAATTTATTCAGTTATCTTTTTAGTAAAAAAAAAATAACCCAAATTAGTTTATAACCAAAAATTATATTTTTTAAAAACATTTTTTTACATTTTTATTTTATTTTTTTTATATTATTATTTATGTTTTTTTTTTTTTACATACTGTCACCCTAGCAGTACAGTGTCACCATGGTGACACTGTTCTACTTGTGGGGGTGATGAAGATTTATTTATTTATTTTTACACTGATTGCTTTTGCACCCATAAAGGCTGTAAAAGCAATCATTTCTCCTTCTCTCTGGCTGCATTCTTGCAGCCATTGAGAAATACTGTGTGAGTTGTGATTGGTCACAGCTTGTCACATGGTACAAGGCTGTTGTGAATAGCCCTGTACCATGTGACCTCTGTGATCATTCACAGATTTCACACATAGTAAGCAATGATGTCAGAAGTGACATCTTGCTTAATACTCTGCATGTGATGACTGATTGGCCAATCAGTGATCACATGATCGGGACCTCACACAGAGGTCTGGAGGACACAGCGGGCACCGGATCGTGGTGCCGCGCGCTCCCAGGGAGCGTGCACAAGCAGGGGGGGGGAGGCCGTTTATATACAACGGCCGGATGCGAAGTGGACGGGGCTGAAAATATGTGGACCTCCTTCCTTCTAATTGAGTTCCAATGAAGGGTATAGAATACAAGGACATTTTTGTCAATTGTGCTCTTCCAACTTTGTGGTAACATTTTTGGGAAGGTCCCAACCTTAGTCCGCAGGGTTCAATATTGAGTTGCAGAGAAAAAGACAGCGCTGTGGTTGTAGTAATATAAAAGGGGGAGTGCCTTTATTAGGATAAGCAATGAGTACAAGTAAAAGCACACAAGCCTGTGGTTTGGAAGGGATTCCTGGGTCGGGTGGACGACCTGTCCGCTCAGAGGAGATGAAATGTGGGCCCGGCAGAAGGAAATGTGTGCAGGGTGCAGATTCTAACACTTCACGCCACTTCACGCCATCGCAGTGACGTCATCCCGTGACGCCGTGACCACGTGGTTCCTGCTTCTGACAGGCACAGCTCCACTCACCACCACATTTCCTCTGAGCGGACGGGATGTCCACCCGACCCAGGCATCCCTTCCAAGCCACAGGCTTGTGAGCTTTTACTTGTACTCATTGCTTATCCTAAAAAAGGTACTCCCCCCTTAGGGGGGGGGTTTATATTACTACAACCACAGCGCTGTGTTTTTCTCTGGAGCTTCTGGATCCATTCACTGGATATTAACAGCAGCAGCGGCCATCCTCTGGTGAATGTACACTATATTTTGTGATCCTAACAGTTTTCGATCTTTACTGCGCTTCAAAAAAATGTATCTACTCAATACTGAGTTGGCCCCGCCCTTTGCAACTATAACAGCTTCAACTCTTCTGGGAAGGCCGTCCACAAGGTTCAGGAGGGTGTCTATGGGAAGGTTGGACCATTCTTCCAGAAGCACATTTGTCAGGTCAGGCACTGATGTCGGGGGAGGAGGCCTGGCTCGCAGTCTCCGCTCTAATTCATCCCAAAGGTGTTCTATGGGGTTGAGGTCAGGACTCTGTGCAGGACAGTCAAGTTCCTCCACCCCAAACTGGCTCCTCCATGTCTTTATGGACCTTTGCTTTGTGCATTGGTGGGCAGTCATGTTGGAACAGGAAGGGGCCATCCCCAAACTCTTCCCACAAAATTAGGAGCTTGAGAGTACCGTTCTCCCAGCAACCGCCAAACCCAGACAAGTCCATCGGATTGCCAGACAGAGAAGCGTGATTGGTCACTCCAGAGAACACGTCTCCACTGCTCTAGAGTCCAGTGGCAGCGTGCTTTACACCACGGCATCCGACGCTTTGCATTGCACTTGGTGACGTAAGGCTTGGATGCAGCTGCTCGGCCATGGAAAACCATTCCATGAAGCTCTCTATGCACTGTTGTTGTGCTCATTTGAAGGCCACACCAAGTTTGGAGGTCTTTAGCTATTGACTCTGCAGACAGTTGGCGACTTCTGTGCACTGTGCGCTTCAGCCTGCGCTGACCCCTCTCTGTCATGTGACATGGCATACCACTTGGTGGCTGAGTTGCTGTTGATCCCAGTTGCTTCCACTTTGTTATAATCCCACTAACAGTTGAGCGTGGAATATTTAGTATCCAGGAAATGTCACGGATGGACTAATTGCACAGGTGACCACCTATCACGGGACCACGCTTGGAGTCACTGAGCTTCTGAGAGCGACCCATTCTTTCACAAATGTTTGCAGGAGCAGTTGCATGCCTAGGGGCTTGATTGTACACACCTGTGGCCATGGAGGGGATTGGAACACCTGAATCCAATGATTTGGAGGGGAGGGGCTCAATACTTTTGGCAATATAGTGTAAGCGTCCTCCATAGACCTCAACCCTACTGAACACCTTTGGAATGAATTGGCAGACAGACGGTGAGCCAGATCTCATCATCCAACATCAGTATCTCCAAGTTCCTTTTTGTTGAAGGCCTTTTTCTGTTTCACCATGACTGTGCCCTGTGTACAAAGCCAGTTCCATAAAGACATGGTTTGAGGAGTTTGGTGTGGAGGAACTCAAGTGTCCTGCACAGAACTCTGGCCTCAACCCTATTGAACACCTTTGGAATGAATTGGCAGACAGATGATTAGTCATATCTTCTCATCCAATATCAGTACCTCCAAGTTCCTCCGTCTTTGTAGCAACAGTTTGGTGAAGACCCTTTTCTGTTCCAGCATGACTGTGCTCCTGTGTATAAAGCCAGCTCCGCAAAGACATGGTTTGATGAGTTTGGTGTGGAGGAACTTGAGTGTCCTCCACAGAGCCCTGACCTCAACCCTAAAGTACACTTTAGGGATAAATTGGAAAGCTGATTGTGGGCCAGGTCTTCTCATCCAATATCAGTACCCAACCTCACAAATGCTCTGTTGGCTGACTGGATACAAATTCCCACAAACACGCTCCAAAATCTTTTAGAAAGCCTTCTCAGAAGAGTGGAGGCTGTTATAGCTACAAAGGCAACTCCATATTAGTGGCCAGTTTTGACATGAGATGTCCAACAAGCTCACATAGGTGTGTTGGTTGGGTCTTTTAAAAAGTTTTGGGCAATATGGTATTTGTGCGCTTGGGTGTAAGGCTCGGAACGTGAAATCACAAGTTTCTTCGACTGCTCTTTGGAAATTTTAGGAAATTTCAAAATCTGTATCCATAGCATGCTATGATGTTATCCAGATATCAATCCTTATTAATACTCATCTCTATTAAAGTAGTTATAAACCTCAGACATGAAATATGAACAAAGTACATCCCTCTATAGTGTTTACTTGTCTCAGCCAAGAGCAGTAAGTGTAATTAAGTGTTCTTACATGGCGACCACTTCCTGTTATCTCACATATATATTCTTATTATTATAGCCAAATTTACCACCCTAACTCCTCCCACAGTTTTTACACTACATAGACAGTAATATACCGAAACGTGCAGATTGTTCCCGATTGGTGTGCGATTACTTTGTGGAACATTTCGCCAAATGGTTCACGAAATATCGGCGTTTTTGTGGTGAAATTGGTCCCATAGGAATGAATGGCGGAATGTTCAAAACTAGTGTGGGAGCTGACAAAAGCTAGAGTGTGAGCAGAAAAATCAGGACATGATTTCTAAACTGCCATCACTCCCTCATTTTCAAGCCCACCGACACAAATCTTATATCAAAACGTTCAGCTATCCATGCTGCCACTAAAAATGTCCACGGCTAAGCCATAGTCCTGATAGTTTTTACAATATGACCATTTGTTTTCAACTCACGCCGCCCATTGACATTCATTGAAACTCCACTCTAGCCACCTCAAATTTGAAGGGCAATTTCTAAACTGCGACTGTGCCTTCATTTTTAATATTTCAGAGACATACTATGCATCAAAATGTAGGTCTGGGTCTTGTGATTCTCACAATATAAAGCTCTTCAGTATAGAATTTATACTTTTTAAACTACAACCATTTGAAAATGGCATCCGCCAATGAAGTGAGCAAGTTGGTAGTTTGTTTTTCACCGCTCTTCTCCCCCTTGCTGTAAGTGAGTTGCCATAGGAACCCAGGTGTTGAGCAGCAGCAGAGTGACAATCCACTCCACCCAGTTACTCCGCCCACTCCAGTTGTAGACTACTGGTGGAGGCAAGAACACTTCACACAATTTCCCCAGAAATTGTAGCTTTTCTAGTTTTTGTCTGCTGCTTCGCTGCTCATTCCTCTGCTATCAGCATGAATCCCTGATGACAAGTTTTCCTGACACAGGCAAGAGAAAAATGGTGACAGGGGAGGGACCCTAAGCGGATTTACAGCTTAGCTCTGTTCCTGTAAGCTGTGTGAAGGGAGAGGTGTCTCTTCCCTCCAATCAGCTCTCAGAACTCTCACTGAGCTCTGCCGAGTGTAATTTCAGCTCTCCGCCCCCTGCTTTCTGGACTCCCAGACAAGCTTTAAAATTCTGGATGGATGTAGAGAGAAGAAGGCTATAGATAAACAGGTACAACTTATGCAGGTAGATTTGCATCCCTTGTATCACCAAAGGCCAACTTTCACTGGGTATATGGACAGGTTTTACAACCACTTTAAAGATATTTGAGTCTTTTTGGATTTGTACCCGTGCGCCATGTGCTGAGGTAACACCCCAGTGTCATATCCTGAATACGGCTGCCAGACTCATTCACCTTTCCAACCGCTCCGTCTCCGCCACCCCCCCTCTGCCAATCCCTCCACTGGCTTCCGATGCGCAACGGATCAAATTCAAAATCCTAACACTGACGTACAAAGCCGTCCACCATACTGCCCCGAACTACATCACTGACCTAATATCCAATGTAACCGCGCAGCCAACACGCACACTCTGCAGTCCTCACAAGTACCTCCTTCTCTCTAGTGATCCCTGAGTCTCCATCCTCCCATGCCCGCCTCCAGCTTCTCCAGGGTGTACCCATCCTCTGAACTCCCTGTCAACCCATCAAATGTATCACCTACTCTCCTCTCCTTTAGGCGCACCCTGAAAACCCATCTCTTCAGGGTCAGCCTGTACCCCCTGCTAACTTACCGACCTCCTCCACTCTTCCTACCACTCCATCCCCCACAGCTATCTCCTATGTGCCACATCCCCTCCCTCCTAGATTGTAAGCTGTAAGGAGCAGGGCCCTCGATCCCCTCATGTTTTGCATTGTATTGGTATTGCTCTGTCACATGTTCTGTCCCCCTCTGTAATGTACAGCGCTGAGCGAACTATTGGCGCTTTATAAATCCTGTATAATAATAATATCGGATGCCATGCCTAATGAGATTTGTATGCCCTGTAAACGCACACAGACATAGATTGTATATTAATCTTTCTCGTATTTCTACTCGCAGGCTGGAAGCAGCAAAGGATGATTATCGGGTTCACTGTGAAGAGCTGGAGAAACAGCTGATTGAGACGCAGAACCGCATGTGGAGTTGGCCAATCTAGCCGAGGAGTCGAGGGCTTTAAAAGACGAAATGGATTTTCATCAGGTGCATAGTGTAAATGGGGGTCCAAATGGGATGAAGCTTTGAATTCCAAAAACAAATTCTTAGTGGTGTACAGCACAGCCTTGCAAGGACAATGGTGTGGGCTGTGTAATGTATAGAATAGGGTACACCCTGCAGTGGTCCTGAGTATGTCATGTACAGCACAGCATACAGAATACTGGGGCTCTCTGTGTGTCATGTACAAAACAGCAAACCGTGTGAAGCAGTCTTCTGTATGTAACACGCAGCACAATGTCCACAGTGCAGTGGTTCATTGTATCTAATGTGCCATCCAGAGTATGTAACATATAGCATAGTGTATAGAGTTCAGGGACAAATGTATGTAACATACAGCATAGTGTATAGAGTGCAGGGTCAGATGTATGTAACATAATGCATAGTGTATAGAGTTCAGGGACAAATGTATGTAACATACAGCATAGTGTATAGAGTGCAGGGTCAGATGTATGTAACATACAGCATAGTGTAAACAAGATATATGTGTAACATAATGCATAGTGTATAGAGTTCAGAGACAAATGTATGTAACATACAGCATAGTGTATAGAGTGCAGGGTCAGATGTATGTAACATACAGCATAGTGTATAGAGTGCAGGGTCAGATGTATGCAACATAATGCATAGTGTATAGAGTTCAGAGACAAATGTATGTAACATACAGCATAGTGTATAGATTGCAGGGTCAGATGTATATGTAACATACAGCATAGTGTATAGAGTGCAGGGTCAGATGTATGTAACATACAGCATAGTGTATAGAGTGCAGGGTCAGATGTATGTAACATACAGCATAGTGTATAGAGTGCAGGGTCAGATGTATGTAACATACAGCATAGTGTATAGAATGCAGGGTCAGATGTATGTAACATAATGCATAGTGTAGGGTCGGATGTATGTAACATACAGCATAGTGTATAGATTGCAGGGTCAGATGTATGTAACATACAGCATAGTGTATAGATTGCAGGGTCAGATGTATGTAACATACAGCATAGTGTATAGAGTTCAGCAACAAATGTATGTAACATAATGCATAGTGTACAGAGTGCATGTAATGTTCAATGGTGCATACAGAGTGCAGGGGCCAGTAGTATGTAGCCTACAAAACAGTATACAGGGTGCCCTGGTCTGTAATGTTATATGCAGTACAGCTGTCAGCAGCCTGTAACATACAACATGGAATACGGTGGAATACTTGGAGTCCAGTGGTCCACAGTACATAACATTCAGCACTCAGTGTCTGTTATGTACAGCACAGTATATAGAGGACAGTGGTCCAAAGTATGTAACCTCCCCCCACACTCCATGGGTATGGCGGGCCTAATACCTTTTCCATATTTGACATCCTTTCCCAAGCTACTGACCTTCAGAGGTCCAATCCTCTCCTCCAGGTGGACAGACATGACCATGTGCGTGATGCTGGCAGTCTTCCTTCCAGCAGAGTGGCAGCAGCTCTTTTGAGCCCGTCTTCATTTTCTGTCTGAATGACGCCAATGATCCGTAATCACCCTCTCCCCCTGATCCATGGTGTCTTTGGCTCGTTTCTCACAGCTAGCAGGTTTTTTTTCTGCCATCAACAATTTTTGCACTTTGTCATGTTTGAGTGTGATCTATAGGGCTGGCTTCAGTCACTGCAATGCTCTTCCCAAGCATTAGATGAAAGAACACATTCTCAACATCCCTTTAGATGTGCATCCCTGTTAGCCAGTGGCTGCTGCAGATTTTAGCTGTGCAATCTGGTAATCAGTGGCTTTGTTATACACTATTAGAGTGTAATCAAGCAACTGACCTTTGCACAGTTAAAGTCTCAAGCATCAAGTAGCTAGCAGGGATGCACTTCTAATGGGATGCCAAAGATGTGTTCTTTCATGTAACAGTAGAGGCAGGGTGCCGTGATGTCTACAGGAGCCTGCCAGCCCCTTCCACCAAAATTGATTTTAATACAAAGCAAAGACCACCAGAACGACCCAGGGATGACCACATTGAATCTCAGTGGGGGTTTTTCTTGAAAACACAATAATTTGAGTGCTAAATTTTGATTGCCTGTTGCTCAGTGCAGGGCAAGGGTACATATTATGGGTGTACTTTACACTTTTAATGTAATGCCAATAATAGTTTGACTAAATATTTTTTTTCTTTTTAGAGCAACAGCAGATAAAGCCACCAAGCTGGAATCCACCGTAGAAACGTACCGCAAGAAACTAGAGGACCTCAATGACTTACGAAAACAAGTGAAATCCTTGGAGGACACAAATTTAATGTACATGCACAATACAGTGAGCCTGGAAGAGGATCTGAAGAAGGCCAACACCACTCGCACTCAACTGGAGACCTACAAGCGGCAGGTAGGAGAGTCCCTGAGCGGTGCACTCCGACCCTGCGGGTACAGGTGACATGAGATACTAAAGCCGACCGTACAAAATTTAGCCAATTGCAAGCATTTTGTATCCCCTCTGACCGCCAAGCTACAAAAAACATTGTGGCCACTCAGGTCTGTTCACATTGCTGCAGTTGAGCTGCTTGCAGTGTGGGAACTGTACCTCAGCATGTCATGTTTCGCAGGCGGTACCACCATACAAGAAGGTCCACCCCAAACCCTCCTCACAGGATGCATTTCGCCCAATAATGGGTGTGACAGGAGTCACTTTAGGTGGGGGGCCCATGGAACACAGCTCACTTTGGAGAGGTGGGGAGACCCCTGTCTTAGCTCCCCATATCCCTCTTATGTGTAAGTCACCCTGTGCCTGTTAGGGGTACAGGGTGATCTGTCCTAATATTGGGGTGGGGGGTTGTTGATTGTTTAATGCCATGTGGTTGCATCCCATTGTTCTATTGTGTGTCTTGCTGGGACCAAACTATTATGGGATGTATGTGTTTATGTGTATTGGCTTGGTGGGGGGTGTCTCCAGGAGCCCTCCCTCCTGATAGGACTGTCTGTTGGTGTGTCTCTTGTTACTAAAGGTAGATTGCCCCACCCTGTGTCATTATGCAGGGAGGGGGGGGGGTTGTTCCCTTGAATGTATATATCTTGTATCTGTGTTAAAATAAAGTAGTCTATTTCCTGGTTTACTTCTGGCTTGGTGGGGGGGTGTTCTCCAGCAGCCCTCCCTCCTGATGGGACTGTCTGTTGGTGTGTCTCTTGGTACTAAATGTAGATTGCCCCGCCCTGTGTCATTATGCAGGGAGGGGGGTTGTTCCTTTAATTGTATATATCGTGTAGCTGTATTAAAATAAACTAGTCTATTTCCTGGTTTACGTCTGGCTTGATGGGGTGGGGGGTGTTCTCCAGCAGCCCTCCCTCCTGATGGCACTGTCTGTTGGTGTGTCTCTTGTTACTAAAGGTAGATTGCCCCACCCTGTGTCATTATGCAGGGAGGGGGGTTGTTCCCTTGAATGTATATATCTTGTCTCTGTGTTAAAATAAAGTAGTCTATTTCCTGGTTTACTTCAAGACTGGTGCCGTCTAGTCTTGTATGGTCGGCTGTGGTGTCTGTGGTCGGTGTTTGGACAGGGAAGCGGTATTATAACGGAAGTACCCAAGCGCAGACTGGGTCGGTTCCGTTACAATGGGTTAATCGTAGAGCCCCTGTCAGGTGAAGAGCATTAAGTGAAGAGGGTTTGGATGGACCTTCTGTATGGGATGCCCAGAACAATAAAGTTTTACAATTGCTGACGTCATTGGACTGCAGCTGGCTTTCTTGCTTTGTATACATCAAAAACGGGGGGCCAGTACCTGTCCCCACTTCCTCCTTCCATAAAATAGGTACTGTTGGGTCACTTTAGTGGGGGACTCTTGTTTTTCCTACACCTTTCACTAAAGGGGACGTGTCAACAGTGAAATAACGGAGCAGCCATTGCTGGTTTAGCTTTTAAAATGGCAAATTCCAGGGCTGTCATCCTGTTCTTGCTGCACTATTTGTGGGCCAGTGACAATTCAACTCTTGCCTTGCATGCTGGTTCCATTGTTACATAGTTAGTCTGGCTGAAAAAAGACAAAAGTCTATCCAGTTCAACCATTAAAGGCCTAAGGCCTCATTCACAAGGCCAAATTGGCCATGGTATGGCAAGTATCTTGCGGAGATTTGAGGACGGGAGCCCAGATGTGTACGGACAGCTGTGGCTTGGGAAGCCTGTACAAGCAATGACAGGTCGACAGTGTCCACAGCTGTCTGCTAGTGTTCATAAGAAATCACACAGGTAGCAAATACCTGCTGTTAGGGACCAGGGGCGGACTGACCATTTGGAAACTCGGGCACTGCCCGAGGGCCCGGGGTCAGTAGGGGGCCCCATGAGATGCCCCTGGTACCTTTTTCATAGGCTTTTTTGAGTTTGGCAAGGACACAGGGGCCCCATGATCCCCTATTGCCCAGGGGCCCCATGAGTTGTCAGTCCGCCCCTGTTAGGGACAGATAATCACCCCTGGAAGCAAACTGGGACAATTATCTGTCCCTAACTGCTCCCAGTGTGATTCCTTCCAAACAGTGGCTGGTGGTTGTGGCCACTGTCGGCCTGTCATTGCTTTGTACAGGCTTCCTGGCCATGGCTGTCCACACACCTAGGCTCCTGGTCGCAGCTTTCTGCAAAATACTTGCTGTATTGTGGCCAATTTGGCCATGTTCATGAGGTCTAAGTAGTGAAGTAAGGATGAAGGTGACAGCCCTGGAAACTGTACTTTTAAAAGGAAGTGGTAGTTCCAGTTTGTATGTGTAGACAGGTTCCCTTTAGACTCTATATACTGTAAGTATGTCACATTGTCCTGCAGCTCCTCACCCCTTTTGACATTTCATGCTTCTGTACAGGTCCAGGATCTCCACACCAAACTTTCCATGGAAACCAAGAGAGCGGACACCTTGGCATTCGAACTGACCAAACTGCGCGAGAAGCAGGACGCACTGGTGAAGGAAAAAGAGGTAACGTCAAACAGCGTCGTATAACAGCACGCTGTAACCAAAGGCATAATTTGGTCCTGAGAGGTACAATTCGTGGTGACTCTTTTTCTTCTTCCACCTTCTAATAACTCAGTTCATCCTGGTATGCCCCTTGTTCTGTCTCTCCAATCTAAGCATTGAAAGTGTGATCTCTGTAATTTACAGTTTTGATGAGATAGCGATAACTCCAATCTTAGTTGAATAACACAGGCAGTGACTCGATCAGATGACATCTTGTAGATCTTGTGAAGTTTATTCCATAAACTGAGAGAATCTTACAACAATGAACATCGGAGAGGTCAAAAGATCATAATGTGATCTGCTTCCATAAGACATGAGGCATGAAGATGAAATGCATTTCTGGGAAAAGGGGTGGGGCTATCTATACAGCAAGAACTAAACCAGAGGAAAGGGAGGGAGCAGAGACAAAATACAAAGAACACTTAAAGGTATATGACAGTCATGTGAAACGTGACACCCCTCCTTCACCTCTTGTGCTTTACTGCTGTCATAAGTGGACTCAATGGCCAGTAGTGCCCGAATAGGGAGGGAACCATTCATACAAATAGGGGTTGGACAAAAAAGAAAATGGATGATTTGCAGGTGTGAAAGTGACACATGTTTTGCATTGAAAGTGGAAGTGATTTACATAGTTAGTCTGGCTGAAAAAAGACAAAAGTCCATCCAGTTCAGCCATTAAAAAAAAAAAAAGTTATAATCCTACACCCACAGTTGATCCAGAGGAAGGCAAAAAAATCCAGCAAAGCACGATCCAATTTGCTCCTGCAGGTGAAAGAATTCCTTCCTGATCCCCCGAGAGGCAATCGGATATTCCCTGGATCACCTTTACCTATAAATGTTATATCCAGTTATATTTTGTGTATCTTTTGCTTCCGCTGTGTGATGAGACACCTAGCTAACAGCTGGGAAGCCTCACTTTCATCTTTGACTAGTAATATGGAGTCATGCAGAGCTTACTGAGCTTCAGAGAGGGCAAAGTGTTGGTGCCGCTTAGCTGGTGCCTCTGTGACTGAAGTCGCCAATTTATTTGCCGTGTCATGAGGCCCAGTATCAAAGCTAATGACAACATATACAGTTTTCGGGTAAACGTTGTCTGATAAGCATAGGTGCGGTCGCCATGGTCAACTGACCGAAAGAGACAAAAGGACATTGTGCAGGATTGTGACCCGGAATAAGAAAACAACTGCTGCAAAAGTGACCGCAGAGCTCAGTCTCAGTCTTCCAAAGCCCGTGTTCACAAAAAACTGTGCGGAGGGAACTCCATGAGCAAAACATGAACGGGCGAGCTGCAATGGCCAAACCACTAGTGACCGATATTAATGCTCAGAAGAGGAGAGAATGGTGCAACACCTAGAAATCGTAGATCAATGGAAGACTGTAATATAATCCAATGAATCGAGCTTCACACTCCTCCCAACCACTGGACGTGTTTTTGTGTGGAGAACACCATCCCAAGCTTACCACCAGGACTGTCTTGTTTTTTTTTTTTTTTTTTTTAAGTCCGCAAACGTGCAACTATAACGAAAAAAACCCGTAAGTGTTCACAAAAAATGTGCAAGTGCAAAACACCACACGAAAAAGTGCACTTAGGGGTGTGCTGTGTCCTACCCCTAAAGGGGCTTGGACCGCTTACCCTGATCCCCCGGGGCACGAAGCTCCTGACGGGGACAAGGTTCCCAATTGGTCCTCCTGGCCAAAAGGCCTGGTGGACCACCGTTCCTTGTGTCCAGCCGAAGCCAGACACCCAGTACTTGGTCAGGGGGCTCTCCCGAAGAAGGGCCCCCTAGGGATCAGGGGAGGAAGGAACCAAAAGGCCACACATCCTCCCCCTAGACTTCAGGGTAGGCCCGAGGACCCACACCCTCCATCCGTGAAAAACACACACATAAGTAAAGCAAAAAGTGACAAAACGTGGGGGAGTGCATAATAAATTAAATAAATAAAAAAAAAATTAAAAAGTGGTACCGTGCCAAATTGTGCACAGACCAGGCCCTGAGGCCCGTAGCAAAAATTGCCCTGGACTTAGCCAAAGGACCTACCAGGACTGTCTTGTTTTTTTTTTTTTTTTTTGTTTTTTTTTTAAGTCCGCAAACGTGCAACTATAACGAAAAAACCCGTAAGTGTTCACAAAAAAAAGTGCAAGTGCAAAACACCACACGAAAAAGTGCACTTAGGGGTGTGCTGTGTCCTACCCCTAAAGGGGCTTGGACCGCTTACCCTGATCCCCCGGGGCACGAAGCTCCTGACAGGGACAAGGTTCCCAATTGGTCCTCCTGGCCAAAAGGCCTGGTGGACCACCGTTCCCTATGCCCAGCCGAAGCCGGACATCCAGTACTAGGCAAGGAGGCTCTCCCGAAGAAGAGCCTCCTAGGGATCAGGGGAGGAAGGAACCGTATGGCCACACATCCTCCCCCTAGACTTCAGGGTAGGCCCGAGGACCCACACCCTCCATCCGTGAAAAACACACACATAAGTAAAGTAAAAAGTGACAAAACGTGGGAGTGCATAATAAATAAGATAAAGAAAATAAAAAAATAAAAAAGTGGTACCGTGCCGAATTGTGCACAGACCAGGCCCTGAGGCCCGTAGCAAAAATTGCCCTGGACTTAGCCAAAAGACCTGGTCCTTAGGGCGCTGTGCAAAAAGAGGTAAAAAACAGTGGCCATGTGTCATCTTCACACCGTGGGGTCCCACACCCAAGTGTTACTAGTGACACCCCTGAGAGCGTCTTCCCCAGGGGGCACTGAGTTTGCAGACTTTTTGCGTCCCCAGCCCCTGGCCAGACCAAGGTAGATCCATCCAAATCAGGAGGTACTGGGTCTTTCCAGTCTTCCCAGAGGAATTACTCCCGGGGCCCCAGCTTAACTCGTGGCGCTCCCGGTTTCTGTCCCTCCGCTACTAGCCTTCCGGACCCCCATCATTCCAGTGAGGGTACTATACAACAACCATCCCCGCAAAGCTAGAATGGTCGGGAGCACCCCCACTGGACACTGATAAGAACAGATACTACACTTGATCTTAGCTAAAAGGCCGAGAAGCAAAACAGGTTGCCTACCCCCCTTTTTTTTTTTTTTTTTTTTTTTTTTTTTTTTAAGTCCGCAAACCAGGACTGTCTTGTGCCAATGGTAAAGCATGGTGGTGGCCCAGTCATGGTTTGGGCATCCATATCTTGGTATTCTGCAGGTCCCATCATCACCTTGAAAGGTAGAGTCACTGCTAGCGACTATGTACAAATTTTTGGCCGACCATGTTCACCCCATGGTGCAGACATTGTTTCCCAAAGACAGCGCCATTTACCAAGATGATAATGCTCCAAGTCACACAGCCGGTGTTGTCAAATCGTAGTTTAATGAGCATGCAGATGAAGTCTTGCTCCTTCCTTGGGCGCCACATTCGCCAGACCTCATAGAGCCACTGTGGTCAATTTTGGAGAACAAGGTTTCGGGCTCGTTTTCTGCCTCCGACATCTCTACGAGAACTGGAAAGATTTTTGCATGAAGAGTGGAACCAGATTCCATTATCCACCATCCAGGACTTATATTTGGCAATTCCGAGGAGAATTCAAGCCGTGTTGGATGTCAAAGGCAGTCCAACACCATTTTAGGTAACTATTTTGTTCTTTTACCTGGTGTTTATTTTTTTCTTTGTCTGCGGAGGTGCGAAAACCTCCTCCACCTCCTCTGGTTCATTATTAGTCCACCACTGTCAATGACAAATCATGAGGTGCTGGAAAAGGGAGGGGACCATTCACACTTGTGCATTGTGCACGTTAACATGGTTCACCAGTACAAATGTCAGCCCATCTGCTCTATGTATGGTGTCATTCATGGTGAATGGCACCCCAACACATTGTATAGTAGATCCCACCTCACAGGACACCACGTGTGGTGCATTTGTAAAAAGGGGTTTGGGCAGCACAGTGGCTAAATGGTTAGCACTTTCACCTGGCAGTACTCGGGTTGTTGGTTCGAATCCCAACCACGGAGCCACCTGCCTGAAGTTTGCATGTTCTCCCTGTGCCTGCGTGGGTTTCTCTGGGTACTCTGGTTTCCTCCTACACTCCTACAAGACATGCTGGTCGGTTAATTTGGCTCCTGTCTAAATTGTCCCTAGTATGTGTATGTATGAATGTGAGTTAGGGACCTTAGATTGTACGCTCCTCAGGGGCGGGGACTGATGTGAATGTACAATATATATGTAAAGTGCTGCGTAAATTGATGGCGCTATATAAGTACCTGAAATAAATAATATTAATAATGTACGTTTTCTCCATCATCCAATGAGGGACACTGGAATTCAGTAACAGCTGGGTTATACTGCCACCTACAGGAGGTGCATTTTCAGGAGCTTCCTCCGCAACGCAGCACTTAAAGCGGAGCTCCACCCAAAAGGGGAAGTTCCGCTTTAAAGACTGGTCCCCCGTTCCACATTAAGGGCTGGCACCTTTGGGGAGTGGGGGGAGAGCGGGTACCTGAAATTGACAGTTACCCCGCTCCCACTTCCACTGCAATTGCCTAGGCGATCGGAAACGGAAGTTGTCCTCCCTCCCCATAGTCTTCTGGGACACATGACAGGTCCCAGAAGACGACGTGGCCATTCAGGAAGCGCAGCGATACTCCCGCATGCGTAGTGGGCACCCAGCTGTGAAGACGCAAGCTGTCACAGGCGGGTGCCCACATTGAAGATGCCGGCACCTGGAACACCAGATGGCTGGTGAAACGGGCTGCGGGGAGGACACCACAGGTTCAAGGGACAGGTAAGTGGTTGTTTTTTACAAGTCAGCAGCTACAGTTTTTGTAGCTACTGACTTTTATTTTCTTACAGTGTGAGTGGAACTCCGCTTTAAGTGTATATGGAACCCAAGAGGAAAGTACACAACATTTCCAGATCATACAAACTCATCTGTGTGTCAACTCTGATCTCTGGATCGTGGAAGTGGCCCCCGGAACTGCAGAGTATTAGTCCTCCTGCACACGGGACGTCTTTACAGCGGCTGTTTTTGGCTTTTTTCTACAGCCAGTAAACCCCCCAGCATGTTATCCTACGTGTCCATCCCCGGCATGTTATCCTGTGTGTCCATCCCCGGCATGTTATCCTATGTGTCCATCCCCGGCATGTTATCCTACGTGTCCATCCCCAGCATGTTATCCTCTGTGTCCATCCCCGGCATGTTATCCTATGTGTCCATCCCCGGCATGTTATCCTATGTGTGTCCATCCCCGGCATGTTATCCTGTGTGTCCATCCCCGGCATGTTATCCTATGTGTCCATCCCCGGCATGTTATCCTATGTGTGTCCATCCCCGGCATGTTATCCTACGTGCCCATCCCCAGCATGTTATCCTATGTGTCCGTCCCCGGCATGTTATCCTATGTGTCCGTCCCCGGCATGTTATCCTATGTGTCCATCCCCGGCATGTTATCCTATGTGTCCATCCCCGGCATGTTATCCTGTGTGTCCATCCCCGGCATGTTATCCTATGTGTCAATCCCCAGCATGTTATCCTATGTGTCCATCCCCGGCATGTTATCCTATGTGTCCATCGCCGGCATGTTATCCTACGTGTCCATGCCCGGCATGTTATCCTACGTGTCCATCCCCGGCATGTTATCCTACGTGTCCATCCCCGGCATGTTATCCTGTGTGTCCATCCCGGCGTGTTATCCTATGTGTCCATCCCCGGCATGTTATCCTATGTGTCCATCCCCGGCATGTTATCCTATGTGTCCATCCCCGGCATGTTATCCTATGTGTGTCCATCCCCGGCATGTTATCCTGTGTGTCCATCCCGGCGTGTTATCCTATGTGTCCATCCCCAGCATGTTATCCTATGTGTCCATCCCCAGCATGTTATCCTATGTGTCCATCCCCGGCATGTTATCCTATGTGTGTCCATCCCCAGCATGTTATCCTATGTGTCCATCCCCGGCAGGGGTGGACTGACAACTCATGGGGCCCCAGGGCAATAGGGGATTATGGGGCCCCTGTGTCTTTGCCCAAACTCAAAAAAGCCTATGAAAAAGGTACCAGGGGCATCTCATGGGGCCCCCTACTGACCCCCGGGCCCTCGGGCAGTGCCTGAGTTTCCAAATGGCCAGTCCGCCCCTGATCCACGGCATGTTATCCTATGTGTCCATCCCCGGCATGTTATCCTACGTGTCCATCCCCGGCGTGTTATCCTATGTGTCCATCCCCAGCATGTTATCCTATGTGTCCATCCCCGGCATGTTATCCTGTGTCCATCCCCCCGGCATGTTATCCTGTGTCCATCCCCGGCATGTTATCCAATGTGTCCATCCCCGGCATGTTATCCTATGTGTCCATCCCCGGCATGTTATCCTATGTGTCCATCCCCGGCATGTTATCCTATGTGTCCATCCCCAGCATGTTATCCTACGTGTCCATCCCCAGCATGTTATCCTATGTGCGTCCATCCCCGGCATGTTATCCTATGTGTCCATCCCCGGCATGTTATCCTACGTGTCCATCCCCGGCATGTTATTCTATGTGTCCATCCCCGGCATGTTATCCTATGTGTCCATCCCCGGCATGTTATCCTATGTGTGTCCATCCCCAGCATGTTATCCTATGTGTGTCCATCCCCGGCATGTTATCCTACGTGCCCATCCCCAGCATGTTATCCTATGTGTCCGTCCCCGGCATGTTATCCTATGTGTCCGTCCCCGGCATGTTATCCTATGTGTCCATCCCCGGCATGTTATCCTATGTGTGTCCATCCCCAGCATGTTATCCTATGTGTGTCCATCCCCAGCATGTTATCCTATGTGTGTCCATCCCCGGCATGTTATCCTATGTGTGTCCATCCCCGGCATGTTATCCTACGTGCCCATCCCCAGCATGTTATCCTATGTGTCCGTCCCCGGCATGTTATCCTATGTGTCCGTCCCCGGCATGTTATCCTATGTGTCCGTCCCCGGCATGTTATCCTGTGTGTCCATCCCCAGCATGTTATCCTGTGTGTCCATCCCCGGCATGTTATCCTATGTGTCAATCCCCGGCATGTTATCCTATGTGTCAATCCCCGGCATGTTATCCTATGTGTCCATCCCCGGCATGTTATCCTACGTGTCCATCCCCGGCATGTTATCCTACGTGTCCATCCCCGGCATGTTATCCTGTGTGTCCATCCCGGCGTGTTATCCTATGTGTCCATCCCCGGCATGTTATCCTATGTGTGTCCATCCCCGGCATGTTATCCTGTGTGTCCATCCCCGGCATGTTATCCTATGTGTCCATCCCCGGCAGGGGTGGACTGACAACTCATGGGGCCCCAGGGCAATAGGGGATTATGGGGCCCCTGTGTCTTTGCCCAAACTCAAAAAAGCCTATGAAAAAGGTACCAGGGGCATCTCATGGGGCCCCCTACTGACCCCGGGCCCTCGGGCAGTGCCTGAGTTTCCAAATGGCCAGTCCGCCCCTGATCCCCGGCATGTTATCCTATGTGTCCATCCCCGGCATGTTATCCTACGTGTCCATCCCCGGCATGTTATCCTGTGTGTCCATCCCCGGCATGTTCTCCTATGTGTCCATCCCCGGCATGTTATCCTATGTGTCCATCCCCGGCATGTTATCCTATGTGTCCATCCCCAGCATGTTGTCCTATGTGTCCATCCCCGGCATGTTATCCTATGTGTCCATCCCCGGCATGTTATCCTATGTGTCCATCCCCGGCATGTTATCCTGTATGTCCATCCCCGGCATGTTATCCTATGTGTCCATCCCCGGCATGTTATCCTATGTGTCCATCCCCGGCATGTTATCCTATGTGTCCATCCCCGGCATGTTATCCTATGTGTCCATCCCCGGCATGTTATCTTACGTGTCCATCCCCGGCATGTTATCCTATGTGTCCATCCCCGGCATGTTATCTTACGTGTCCATCCCCGGCATGTTATCCTATGTGTCCATCCCCGGCATGTTATCCTATGTGTCCAAAAACGCAAACACAAAATAACAAGTCTAAACACTAATGCAAAAACGCTAAAAACCGCTGAAAAAAGTCACATTTTTAATGCACAGCTGTGTGCTTGGAGCCTTACAAGAGAAGAGCTGCTGATCTGCTGTGTCAGAGGACATTTAATTACCGGTTATATACTGATTATTCGAATGCAGAGATTTGACTCTTTCTTGCTTCTTGCAGCGGCTGATTAACCAACGTGACGCTCTGAAGGAAACCAATGAGGAGCTGAGATGTTCTTTGGTGCAGCAAGACCACCTAAGTCAGTCTGGTGAGTCCCTCCAGCCACGCTTGATATATCCCATACCTAGAGGGCGCTGTGCTCACTCTAACTATTAGGTGTATTATCCCTTTCTCTGCCAGAGCCGTTTTTGTGTTTTTTTTGCACACGTTTAACCACTTCAAGTCCGGACCAGGGGCGGACTGACCATTTGGAAGGGCACTGCGCGAGGGCCGGGGTCAGTGGGGGGCCCCATGAGATGCCCCTGGTACCTTTTTCATAGGCTTTTATGAGTTTGGGCAAGGGCACAGGGGCCCCATGATCCCCTATTGCCCGGGGGCCCCATGAGTTGTCAGTCCACCCCTGGTCCGGACACTTTTTAGAAAAAAAAAAAATAACCCAAATTAGTTTATAACCAAAAATTATAATTTTTCAAAATAGTTTTACATTTTTTTTTTTTTTTTTTTATATTATTATAAAATGCCTTGTTTGCCTTGTGGTAAATACACCCCTGACCACGCCATCTGAGGACTGTAAGCTGCAGTATATTGCGTTTTTTGTTTTTTGTTAGATTTCTTTGAACAAACCAAGCTGTCCAACAAAAGTGGCAGTTGGAGGGGTTGGGACAAACCATATATGGCCATAGACCATATTCTGCTTTTATTGTATAAACCCAACAATTCACTACTTTACATTTATCTTTATACTGTGTATTATGTATCATTTTTTCTCACTGCTGTTTGCTCATATTTCAGGAGATTCTGGACTAAAAAATATTGACAATCTTGCCGCAGAGCTCCTTCCGGTAGAGTATCGGTGAGTAGCTGATTAATGGTGGAATATTGCTGCTCAGGAGCTGTGCTCACCCCCATCAACAAATATTTGTTAAAAAAAATCCCAGTTTTTACCATGTATTATATTTGTATTAATTATAAATTAATAAATACAGTTAGGTATATATTTGGACACAGGCACAATTTTTTTTTTTTCAGGTATTGACCAAAATATATTCCAGCTATAGTTCTATATGGGCTGAAAGTGCACACACTCAGGTTTAATTTGAGGGTATGTACATCCAAATCGGAGGAAGGGTTTAGGAATTACAGCTCTTAAGAGTAGCCATCCCCCCTTTTTCAAAGGACCAAAAGTAATTGGACAATTGAATCAAAAGCTGTTTTGTGACCAGGTATGGGCTACTCCCTCACTATTTCTTCATCAATTAAGCAGGTTATTTTTGTATTAATTATTCACTAATATTTAGTTATATAACAGAAACCACAGATTTACAATTTATTATATTTGTATTAATTATTTCTTAATAATTAGTTATATTAAGGAAATACCAGTTTTTACCAATTATTATATTTATATTAGTTAATACTTATATCCGGAAAATCTCATTTTTAAAATGTATTATTTTTGTATTAATTATTAATTAATATTTAGTTATATTAAGGAAATTCTAGTCTTTAAATTGTATTATATGTGTTATTATTATTATTATTATTCATTAATAATTAGTTATATTATGGAAATCCCAGTTTTTACCATGTATTAAATTGTATTATTTTTAGCTATATTAAAAAGAATTCCAGATTTTACCATGTATTATATTTGTATTAATTATAGGTTAATAATTGGTTATATTAAGCAAATCCCAGATTTTTACCATGTAATATATTTGTATTAATTATGAATTAGTAATTAGTTATATTAAGCAAATCCCAGATTTTACTATGTATTATTTTTGTCTTAATTATTCAATAATATTTAGTTATATAAAGGAGAACCCCAGGTTTACAATTTATTATATTTGTATTAATTATTGCTTAATAATTAGTTATATTAAGGAAATCACAGTTTTTACCATTTATTATATTTATATTACTTAATACTTATATCAGGAAAATCTCAGTTTTAAAATGTATTATTTTCGTATTAATTATTAATTAATAATTTGTTATATATAAGGAAATTCTAGTTTTTAAAATGTATTATATGTGTTATTATTATTATTATTAATTAATAATATTAATAATTAGTTATTTTCGGGAAATGCCAGCTTTTACCATGTATTCATTTGTATTATTTATTCATTAATAACTAGCTATATTAAGAAAATCCCAGTTTTTACTGTACATTATTTTTGTATTCATTATGAATGAATAATTAGTTATTTTAAGGATATCCCCGTTTCTACCAGGTATTATATTTGTATTAATAATTCATGAATAATTAGGTATATAAGGGAAATCACAATTTTCACCGTGTCTTACATTTGTATTATTATTAAATAATAATGAGTTATATTAAGGAAATCCATGTTTTTATCGTGTATTATATATATATTTTTTAAATTCTATTAATTTTTCTTATTATTAAATAATAATGAGTTATATTGAGGAAATCCATGTTTTTATCGTGTTTTATATATTTATTTTTTTAAATTCTATTAGTTTTTTTCTTATTAAATAATAATGAGTTATATTAAGGAAATCCATGTTTTTATCGTGTATTATATATTTTATTTTTGTAAATTCTATCAATTTTTCTTATTGTTAAATAATAATGAGATATTAAGGAAATCCATGTTTTTATCGTGCATTATATATTTATTTTTTTTAAATTCTATTAATTTTTCTTTAAATAATATAATTGTATATAACAATTACACCTTTATAAAAAAAAAGATGGCACTGCAGATGCCATTACAGCCTGAAGGTGGCGCTGTTCTGCAGGCTGAAGGATTATTTTGTTACTGAATCCTCCAGGGGTCATTAGGCCAAAGCTGAGGTAGCAATCGTATGTTTGGGTCCACTGTGGTCTTCGATCGTAAGTGAGACTGTCCTGGAGTTGTCAAGTGCAGCCATTTATTATACAATCTGTCGTCTTTTTTTAGGGAGATGTTCATCAGACTCCAGCATGAAAATAAAATGCTCCGCGTGCAGCAGGAGGGTTCGGAGAATGAGCAGATCACCGAGCTGCAGACACAGCTGGAGGAGAAGCAGAGGAAGATGAGTGAGATGGAGACGGAAAACAGGTGAGAGTACTGCTCGCAGCGCCGTCTGTAGTAGGAAGACAGTGGCAAAAAAGCCGGCCCCCCTGCTAGCATCAAGGCTGAGGGCTCTTGACAGGAGTACTGAAGCAGGATGCTGTGATGTTTTCAGAACAATATGTAGAGCAACCCTGTTGGCCCCTCCCACCAGCCATGATTTGCCTGCATTGCATAGAAAAGTACAGGGACCGAAGTGATGTCACTGGATCTTAAAAAGGGTATGTAATGAAAAAAACAGTTTTTAAATTAAAAAAGAAAATGTGGCCCCGGGAGTAATTCCTCTGGGAAGACTGGAAAGACCCAGTACCTCCTGATTTGGACGGATCTACCTTGGTCTGGCCAGGGGCTGGGGACGCAAAAAGTCCGCAAACTCAGTGCCCCCTGGGGAAGACGCTCTCAGGGGTGTCACTAGTAACACTTGGGTGTGGGACCCCACGGTGTGAAGATGACACATGGCCACTGTTTTTCACCTCTTTTTGCACAGCGCCCTAAGGACCAGGTCTTTTGGCTAAGTCCAGGGCAATTTTTTGCTATGGGCCTTAGGGCCTGGTCTGTGCACATTTCGGCACGGTACCATTTTTTTTTATTTTACTTTATTTATTTATTATGCACTCCCACGTTTGTCACTTTTTTCTTTGCTTTATGTGTGTGTTTTTTCACGGATGGAGGGTGTGGGTCCTCGGGCCTACCCTGAAGTCTAGGGGGAGGATGTGTGGCCATACGGTTCCTTCCTCCCCTGATCCCTAGGAGGCTCTTCTTCGGGAGAGCCTCCTTGCCTAGTACTGGATGTCCGGCTATGGCTGGGCATAGGGAACGGTGGTCCACCAGGCCTTTTGGCCAGGAGGACCAATTGGGAACCTTGTCCCCGTCAGGAGCTTCGTGCCCCGGGGGATCAGGGTAAGCGGTCCAAGCCCCTTTAGGGGTAGGACACAGCACACCCCTAAGTGCACTTTTTCGTGTGGTGTTTTGCACTTGCACTTTTTTTGTGAACACTTACGGGTTTTTTTCGTTATAGTTGCACGTTTGCGGACTTAAAAAAAAAAAAAAAGAAAATGTGGCCAAACGTCTCTTCTAGGTCACAGAACTTCACTTACTTGTGCTCTCCTGTGATTCAGAATCACAGAGCTGCTCTGGGCTATGGAAGGACCCCTACAATAATGTCAGGATCCACCTAGATGCCTAATCGGCAGCTTGGGGGCATACTTCTCTTCCGGATCACAGGACTGCACTTGCGCTCTCCTGTGACTCAGAATCACAGAGCTGCTCCAGGCTATGAAAGGATCCCTACAATAATGTCAGGATCTACCCAGCTTGGGGGCATTCTTCTCTTCCGGATCTCAGGACTGCACTTAATTGTGCTCTCTCCTGTGACTCAGAATCACAGAGCTGCTCCAGTCTATGAAAGGATCCCTACAATTATGTCAGGATCCACCCAGATGCCTAACCGGCAGCTTGGGGGCATTCCTCTCTTCCGGATCACAGGACTGCGCTTAATTGTGCTCTCCTGTGACCCAGAATCACAGAGCTGGTCCAGGCTATGGAAGGATCCCTACAATAATGTCAGGATCCACCCAGATGCCTGACTGGCAGGTGGCTCAGCCTCTCAGCACACCGCTGGGAACCTGAGCCAACCGCTCCAACTCCTTCCACAGCCTGGTGCTCCAGTAATCACTAGAGGGGCAGAGCAGACTAAGAACTGAATGATAAGCGGTCATGTGATTGCCGGCAGGGGACAGCTGCAGCATAAGTATGATGCTGCAGCAAGGAGGTGAGTATAGATGCTTGTTTTTTTTAGAATCCCACACGTCTCCTTTAAAACTGTAATCAGTATGTTGATTAGTGGGGACGGAGGAATCAGGGAAGGCAAAAGTATAAGCCGATTAAGCTTCCACTTTACATTTGCAGTAAAAGTAAGTTGCTCACTCGGGGGTCCACGTCCAGGTTCACAAAGGGACCCCGTTCTGCTCTTTATTCAGTCTACCAGCGAAACGTTTTGTAGCTGTGAACCCCCAAAGCGCTCACCTCTGACCACTTCCAGGTTCACAAAGATACCCCGATCTGCTCTTTATTCAATCACTACCAGCCAAACGTTTTGTAGTTGTGAACCCCAAAGCGCTCAACTCTGATCACTTCCAGGTTCACAAAGAGACCCCGATCTGCTCTTTATTCAGTCATTACCAGCCAGATGATCGTAGCTGTGAACCCCAAAGTGCTCACCTCTGACCACTACCAGGTTCACAAAGAGACCCCGATCTGCTCTTTATTCAGTTATTACCAGCCAGATGTTTTTTTAGCTGTGAACCGCAAAGTGCTCACCTGTGACCACTTCCAGGTTCACAAAGAGACCCCAATCTGCTCTTTATTCAGTCATTACCAGCCAGATGTTTTGTAGCTGTGAACCCCCAAAACGCTCACCTCTGATCACTTCCAGGTTCACAAAGAGACCGCAATCTGCTTTTTTTTCATTCACTACCAGCCAAATGTTTGTAGCTGTGAACCCCAAAGTGCTCACCTGTGACCACTTCCAGGTTCACAAAGAGATCCTAGGTTCACAAAGGGACCCGGATCTGCTTTTTAGGCAGTCTACCAGCCAAACGTTTTGTAGATGTGAACCCCAACGTGCTCACCTCTGATCACTTCCAGGTTCACAAAGAGACCCCGATCTGCTTTTTATTCATTCACTACCAGCCAAACGTTTTGTAGCTGTGAACCCCAAAGTGCTCACCTGTGACCACTTCCAGGTTCACAAAGAGATCCCAGGTTCACAAAGGGACCCCGATCTGCTCTTTATTCAGTCACTACCAGCCAACTTCCAGCAGTGGTTTTATGTCACGTCACCCGTTTGCATTGCGGAGTTCTCCTATACCGTGATGACATTTGTCTCCCATTTATCAGATTAAACCTGGGCCGTGTGGAGGAGTTACAGCAGCAGATCGCGGATCTCCAGAAAACATTACAGAATCAGGACACAGAAGCAGAAGGAGCGGGGGTGAGTGTCATAAACAGGGCTGCCATTAGGAATCTTGGGGCCCATACAGCCTGTCAGGGCCCTATCTGCATTGTCACGCTTTTCGTTTCACCGATAGTCATTTACGTATTTATTTTTGCTTTGCATCTTTTTGATATCTTTATCATTTATTATTTTAGGTTGCTGTTTGAAGCATGTAAAAATAGAGCTCATCCACAGGGTTTTACCCCCCCCCCCCCCCACAAGTGTAAAGAGCCATTGAGCCAAGAACACAAGGGCCAAACCTTTCAGTCTATGTGTACAGCTGTCTGTTCAACAGAAGCCGGTCTAACTACCGGATTCTGCAGCATTCGATCAGCACGTGCAGCCAGTGTCTGCAAGCTCTGATCTGTGTATTCGGGTGAGTCCCTCTGTAAGGCCTTGTGCACACAGAGCGTTTTTGCAGCCACTTTTAGGGGCGTCGGGCATTTTTTGGACTGCTTTTAAAGCCCTCCATGTTATCCTATGTGTCCATGCACAAGCTGTAGCGTTTACCAGCAGGAAAAAAAACCGCAGGGCCCGTGCGTCCAGGAGCAGCAGCGTTTTGGCAGAAAAACCGCTTAGCGCGGCTAAACATGTCAGCCGCATTTAGTGGCGCAGTGTTTTTTTTTTTATTTTATTTTATTTTTTTACCGTTCTGAGGCCTTAGTGTCTCAGCGGGAGAGATCCCGGTATCCACATTGTGTTCATGCAATGATCCACAGGGAAGAAAAAATATATTTGAAAATATATTTAAAAAATATTCTTCCCAAATATATTGACATATATTTGAAACGCTACAATTTTGGCCGTATTCAATATATCTCAAAATATATTTCAATAAATATATATATATATATATATACATTGTATGTTGAAATACATTTTTATTACAAAATATATGAAAAATATATTTTTTTAAAATATACTCTCCAGATTTTTTTTTTTTTAACGTATAAAAAAGTAATTTTAACATATATTTTGCATATATTTGTATTTTGCATATATTTGAAATGCTACAATTTTGGCTGTATTCAAAATATTTCAAAAATATATTTTAATAAATATATATATATATATATATATATATATACACTGTATGTTGATGCGTTTTTTTTTTATTACAAAATATTTGAAAAATGTTTTTAAAAATATATTTTTTTTAAAAATATATTCTTCAGATTTTTTTTTTTAACATATAAAAAAGTAATTTTAACATATATTTTGCATATATTTCTAAATACAGTCAGGTCCATAAATATTGGGACATCGACACAATTCTAACATTTTTGCCTCTATACACCACCACAATGGATTTGAAATGAAACGAACAAGATGTGCTTTAACTGCAGACTGTCAGCTTTAATTTGAGTTTTTTTACATCCAAATCAGGAGAACGGTGTAGGAGTTACAACAGTTTGCATATGTGCCTCCCACTTGTTAAGGGACCAAAAGTAATGGGACAGAATAATAATCATAAATCAAACTTTCACTTTTTAATACTTGGTTGCAAATCCTTTGCAGTCAACTACAGCCTGAAGTCTGGAACGCATAGACATCACCAGACGCTGGGTTTCATCCCTGGTGATGCTCTGCCAGGCCTCTACTGCAACTGTCTTCAGTTCCTGCTTGTTCTTGGGGCATTTTCCCTTCAGTTTTGTCTTCAGCAAGTGAAATGCTCAATCGGATTCAGGTCAGGTGATTGACTTGGCCATTGCATAACAGTCCACTTCTTTCCCTTAAAAAACTCTTTGGTTGCTTTTGCAGTATACTTTGGGTCATTGTCCATCTGCACTGTGAAGCGTCCAATGAGTTGTGAAGCATTTGGCTGAACATGAGCAGATAATATTCCCGAAACACTTCAGAATTCATCCGGCTGCTTTTGTCAGCAGTCATATCATCAATAAATACAAGAGAACCAGTTCCATTGGCAGCCATACATGCCCACGCCATGACACTACCACCACCATGCTTCACTGATGAGGTGGTATGCTTAGGATCATGAGCAGTTCCTTTCCTTCTCCATACTCTTCTCTTCCCATCACTCTGGTACAAGTTGATGTTGGTCTCATCTGTCCATAGGATGTTGTTCCAGAACTGTGAAGGCTTTTTTAGATGTCATTTGGCAAACTCTAATCTGGCCTTCCTGTTTTTGAGGCTCACCAATGGTTTCCATCTTGTGGTGAACCCTCTGTATTCACTCTGGTGAAGTCTTCTCTTGATTGGTGACTTTGACACACATACACCTACCTCCTGGAGAGTGTTCTTGATCTGGCCAACTGTTGTGAAGGGTGTTTTCTTAACCAAGGAAAGAATTCTTTGGTCATCCACCACAGTTGTTTTCCGTGGTCTTCCGGGTCTTTTGGTGTTGCTGAGCTCACCGGTGCGTTCCTTCTTTTTTTTAAGAATGTTCCAAACAGTTGTTTTGGCCACGCCTAATGTTTTTGCTATCTCTCTGATGGGTTTGTTTTGTTTTTTCAGCCTAATGATGGCTTGCTTCACTGATAGTGACAGCTCTTTGGATCTCATCTTGAGAGTTGAAAGCAACAGATTCCAAATGCAAATAGCACACTTGAAATGAACTCTGGACCTTTTATCTGCTCATTGTAATTGGGAAAATGAGGGAATAACACACACCTGGCCATGGAACAGCTCAGAAGCCAATTGTCCCATTACTTTTGGTCCCTTAACAAGTGGGAGGCACATATGCAAACTGTTGTAATTCCTGCACCGTTCACCTGATTTTGATGTAAATACCCTCAAATTAAAGCTGACAGTCTGCAGTTAAAGCACATCTTGTTCGTTTAATTTCAAATCCATTGTGGTGGTGTATAGAGCCAAAAATGTTAGAATTGTGTCAATGTCCCAATATTTATGGACCTGACTGTATATTGACATATATTTGAAATGCTACAATTATGGCCGTATTCAATATATTTCAAAATATATTTATATAAATATATATATATATACACTGTATGTTGAAATGCATTTAAATTACAAAATATATGAAAAATATTTTTAAAAATATATTTTTTTTAAAATATATTCTTCAGATGTTTGTTTTTTTTTACATATAAAAAAGTAATTTTAACATATATTTTGCATATATTTGTAAATATATTGACATATATTTGAAATGTTACAATTTTGGCCATATTCAATATATTTCAAAATATATTTCAATAAATATATATATACACTGTATGTTGAAATGCGTTATTATTACAAAATATTTGACAAAATTTTTTAAAAGTATATTTTTTTAAAATATATTCTTCAGATTTTTTTTTTTAACATGTAAAAAAGTAATTTTAATATATATTTTTGCATATATTTCTAAATATATTGACATATATTTTGAAATGCTACAATTATGGCCGTATTCAATAAATTTCAAAATATATTTATATAAAATATATATATACACTGTATGTTGAAATGCGTTTTTATTACAAAATATTTGAAAAATATTTTTTAAAATATATATTTTTTTAAATATATTCTTCAGATTTTTTTTTTTTTTACATATAAAAAAAGTAATTTTAACATATATTTTGCATATATTTGTAAATATATTGACATATATTTGAAATGTTACAATTTTGGCCATATTCAATATATTTCAAAATATATTTCAATAAATATATATATACACTGTATGTTGAAATGCGCTTAAATTACAAAATATATGAAAAAAATATTTTAAAAATATATTTTTTTTAAATATATTCTTCAGATTTTTTTTTTTTTACATATAAAAAAGTCATTTTAGCATATATTTTTGCCTATATTTGTAAATGCATTCCAAAAATGTAGATTTGTATTTTTTAAGACACGGTATTTTTTTTTTTTTAAATTTTCATATATTTTGTAATAAAAACACATTTCAACATACAGTGTAAGCTCATTTGGCTTCCACTATTGCACAGGTGTCAAACACAAGGCCCGTGGGCCGAATCCGGCCCTCCATTTCTTGTGGCCCTTGCACCTTTCCTGCAGGTACCCCCTTGTCTCCGCCCCCATCCTGTCTCAGCAATTGGCAGCAGAGAGGACAATAGAACTCCTCTGCCAAATTCTGCACCTCTCTCAGTGCAGTTGCAGTACCCCCCCTCATCTCTGCCCTCCCCTGGTCTTAGCATTCAGCAGACTCTGGTAACTGACTCCACTCCTCCTCTGGGTCCTCCTCCAGACCCTGCTTTCCAGCTCTGCCCCCAAATGGGTACACGATGATGTTCGGGAGGGTGTGGGATTCTTGACATCTGATATAATAGGGGGTGGGGTGCTGATAGGGCCTGCAATGAAATGGAGTTTGACTCCCACATGTGTTTTGCTCCACATGTGAGTGCTGCGCTGGGGTCATGTCTCCACCCCCAACCCCCCCCCCCCCCCATGGCCGCAGGCTGTGTTTTGCGAAAAGCCAATAAGTAAAACTACACAGCTCTGCCCCTACTGAAATTATTGTGCCTGGAGTTGGGCTTTAAAATAATGTTTTAAAAAAACTCAGTGAATGAGTCTATTTCTATAATCGTTTCTAATTCTTTTTTGTTTGTATCCTAGTCCGACACTCTGAAAAAGAAGATTGAGGCTCGGATGTAAGTATGTGTTGATCTTTGGTGTAACTGATGTGTCAGGAGCACCTCTCACATATTGCACCCACTGGGACAGATGTATGGATGCAGCCAGTCTTGCTAGCTACAACTGTTGCACACAGAGAGACGGAGGGGTTCCTCTGACGAGTCAGAATCCCACCATCATAGACAAATACTCATCTAGTTAGCGATGTAGTAAAGTAAAAGTTCAATAACCTGAATACATTTTGGATTTGGGAGCCAGCTGTGACTTCCTGAGGAATCATGCACAAGATCCCACGGCAAAGGGAGACCACGTGGATTGTGTCCCAGGAGGGTGGGGGGTGGGAAGTGGGAAGAATACCACCCCCCTTCCTTACATTGGTGGAAGAGAAAGGAATGTCCCCCCTACATTGGTGGTGGTGAATGAGAAGAATGTCCCCCTTACATTGGTGGAAGAGAAAAGAATGCCCCCCTTACATTAGTGGAAGAGAAAAGAATGCCCCCCTTACATTGGTGGAAGAGAGAGAAGAATGTCCCCCTTACATTGGTGGAAGAGAAAAGAATGCCCCCCTTACATTTGGTGGAAGAGAAAAGAATGTCCCCCTTACATTGGTGGAAGAGAAAAGAATGCCCCCCTTACATTGGTGGAAGAGAAAAGAATGTCCCCCTTACATTGGTGGAAGAGAAAAGAATGTCCCCCTTACATTGGTGGAAGAGAAAAGAATGCCCCCCTTACATTGGTGGAAGAGAAAAGAATGTCCCCTTTACATTGGTGGAAGAGAAAAGAATGTCCCCCCCCTTACATTGGTGGTGGTGAATGAGAAGAATGTCCCCCTTACATTGGTGGTGGTAAGTGAGAAGAATGCCCACCACTGTAAGGGGGACATTCTTCTCACTTACCACCACCAATGTCAGGGGAGCATTCTTCCTAGTTACCACCACCAATGTAAGGGGGGCATACTCACTTACCACCACCAATGTAAGGGGTGCATTCTTCTCATTCACCATTACCAATGTAAGGGGGACATTCTTCCCACTTACCACCACCAATGTAAGGGGGGCATACTCACTTACCACCACCAATGTAAGGGGTGCATTCTTCTCATTCACCATTACCAATGTAAGGGGGACATTCTTCCCACTTACCACCACCAATGTAAGGGGTGCATTCTTCTCATTCACCATTACCAATGTAAGGGGGGGACATTCTTCCCACTTACCACCACCAATGTAAGGGGGACATTCTTCTTTCTCCCACCAATGTAAGGGGGGCATTCTTCTCTCCTTCACCAATGTAAGGAGACATTCTTCCCACTTACCACCACCAATGTAAGGAGGACATTCTTCTCTCTTCCACCAATGTAAGGGGGACATTCTTCTCTCCTTCCTTCACCAATGTAAGGAGGACATTCTTCCCACTTACCACCACCAATGTAAGGGGGGCATACTCACTTACCACCACCAATGTAAGGGGTGCATTCTTTACACTTCCACCAATGTAAGGGGAACATTCTTCCCACTTACCACCACCAATGTAAGGGGACATTCTTCTCTCTTCCACCAATGTAAGGGGGACATTCTTCTCTCTTCCACCAATGTAAGGGGGACATTCTTTTCTCTTCCACCAATGTAAGGGGGGCATTCTTTTCTCTTCCACCAATGTAAGGGGGGCATTCTTCTCTCTTCCACCAATGTAAGGGGGACATTCTTTTCTCTTCCACAAATGTAAGGAGGACATTCTTCCCACTTACCACCACCAATGTAAGGAGGACATTCTTCTCTCTTCCACCAATGTAAGGAGGACATTCTTCTCTCTTCCACCAATGTAAGGGGGACATTCTTCTCTCTTCCACAAATGTAAGGAGGACATTCTTCCCATTTACGACCACCAATGTAAGTTAGGACATTCTTCTCTCTTCCACCAATCTGAAGGGGGACATTCTTTTCACTGACAACACCAATCTAAGGGGCATTTTCCCAATGACCCCGATAGACTAATCTTACCAGGTGTTCCCTGAGACCTGAAAATAACTTCATGGGTTCCTACTGGAAAGTAAAAGTTTGAGAGGCTGCTTTATAATATAAGAAGGGCATTCAAGTCAAACCGGGACTTTTACAGGTATAAAAAGTGATTCTAGTGCGGCGGTATTACACGCAGTAGTATGTGGCAAGTGTGTCCTATTACTGATAGGCGATGCGCATGTCCCAGTCCAGGGACCGTTAATCAAAATGGCAGACAACAGTGTTAGTGGGTGCATGGAACAGCATGTGGTGAATGAAGATGTCAAACCCGTGGATATCTACAGAAGACTTCAAGCACAGTACGGTGATGAGACGCTCAGCCACAGTAAGACATTTGAATGGTGGAAACATTTCAAAGATGGCCGTGCGTCGATCACTGACGATCCTATCCGTGGTGGTTCCCAGCCCACAACAGTCATTCCTGTGAACATTCAGCACATGATCCTGGATAATCGACACATAACCTGTTGTGAAATTGCACAAGAGACGAATCTTTCTGTGTGAATGGTGAACACAACGATGCTGTCCTAGGATGGTTCAGGAATACTGACAAATCTTTCTATGCCAAAGCTTTCCAGGCATTAGTTAAACGCTGTGATAAGTGTATAAATGCATCAGGGGAGTATGTCGAAAAATAAATGCAGTTTCCACTCCTTGAAAAATGTGTCCTTTTATTATATAAACTCAAAAGTCCCGATTTGACTTGAACGCGCCTCGTACATTGAGGATAAGGGTGCTACCGATCACAATGAGAAATCAGAAATTAGAAGGTACATCTAACATGTAGTGGGGGGGTTTTGGGGTTTGTAAGCCGCTGATACTGTATGTTGGATCTACTTTCTGACCTCATCTTGTGATCAACAAACTTTTCCGTGGTTTGTGGCTCTCTCCTCCTTTTCTATATCCATCATACCACCAGGAACACCAGACTGTGCGTCCACCCATGGTAACATTTTTATTCTCCACAGGGAAGAGCTAAAGGAGGTTCATGATGCTATAGAGACCAATAAAGAGCTTCTGGAAGATCTTCAACCAAAAGCCGATCAGAACGGTGAGTTTAGGCTGCCGGGGACTCTGTGTAGGTGACCACGGTGGTGGGGGTTGGTACTATTTAGTATCTTTTTGTTGTTTTGGTAGCTTATCAAATCAGCTGATTGCTAGTTGAATAGGTGGATTTTGCATTCATTTTGGTGCTACCCTCTTCCTATCAGCTCCTCCCCTTCAGTCCTGCACAGTTGTACCAGCTCCTCCCCTTCAGTCTTGCACAGGTGTATGGCTCCTCCCCTTCACTCTTGCACAGTTGTACCGCCTCCTCCCCTCCAGTCTTGCACAGTTGCACCGGCTCCTCCCCTCCAATCTTGCACATGTGTACTGGCTCCTCCCCTCCAGTCTTGCACATGTGTACTGGCTCCTCCCCTCCAATCTTGCACATGTGTACCGGCTCCTCCCCTCCAGTCTTGCACAGTTGTACCAATTCCTCTCCTCCAGTCTTGCACAGGTGTACCGGCTCCTCCCCTTCAGTCTCCAGTCTTGCACAGGTGTATGGCTCCTCCCCTTCAGTCTTGCACAGTTAAACCGCCTCCTCCCCTCCAGTCTTGCACAGTTACACCGGCTCCTCCCCTCCAGTCTTGCACATGTGTACTGGCTCCTCCCCTCCAGTCTTGCACATGTGTACTGGCTCTTCCCCTCCAGTCTTGCACATGTGTGTACTGGCTCCTCCCCTCCAATCTTGCACAGTTGTACCAACTCCTCCCCTCCAGTCTTGCACAGGTGTACCGCTCCTCCCCTCCAGTGTTGCACAGTTGTACCGACTCCTCCCCTTCAGTCTTGCACAGTTGTACCAGCTCCCCCCCTTTCCAATCTTGCACAGGTGTACGGCTCCTCCCCTTCAGTCTTGCACAGGTGTACGGCTCCTCCCCTTCAGTCTTGCACAGGTGTACGGCTCCTCCCCTCCAGTCTTGCACGGCTCCTCTCCTGGACAGAAATGTCTTACTCTGATTTCACCGCACACTGTGAGCTTCTCCTAATGTGCATTAGAAGCTGCAGCAAGTCAGATAGAGCTCCGCCTCATTTCCTGGCTGGAGGATGTCCAGTATCATCTAGCCCAAACTAAGTAGGTGACCCCACTCTGCACTACCCATGTAGAATCTTCCAGAGCATCATCCTTGTTCTGCTTCACCCCATCACTGTCACTACTACTTACTTATGAAGCTCTTTTTTTTTATTCTAGGAATTTGTGTCTGTTTTGGTGTAGAAGCTTCTGTTTGTTCATCTCATAGTGAAGGACATTAGCAGTCCATACACACAGAGCACACAATGGATGATTGTTATACAAGTCGCCTCTTCTCCCTCTGCCTGCTACCTGTCACCTGGGGGGGGCGCCATCTCTAACTTGTTCATGAAGTTATTAAATCCAAGGCTGACATCTTCTTTGCATTTGACATCATTTAGCAGTTAATCTAGCAGCATTTCTTTACTTTTTGTAGTCATGAAACTTTGAAAATATGCAAAATCTTGAGGCACCCCCTAATGTAAATGCTACTTAAATTTTTATAAGTCTGCAGAGGTGTGAAAAAAAGAAAAACCCATAAATGTTTAAGTGCAAAACAAAAACACACAAAAAAGAGCACTTGGGTGTACTTTAGTCCACCCCCCATATGGGTAGGACCTCTACCCTGATCCCCCGGGGCGACGAGGCTCCTGACAGGGACTGAGGCATTTGCTACTAAGAGCACCCCTGAGGCGACCACTTAGGGGGCACTGCTCCGCAGACTCTCTGCCTCCCCAGCCCCTGGCCAGACAAGGTAGATCCATTCAAATCAGGAGGAACTGGACCCCTCCACTCAAGGAATGAGGAGGTTTTCCCAGGGGGAATCACTCCTGGTCCCAACTGCCTGTGGGCACCACGGTTTCTGTTCCAGCCGGTACTAGCCTTCACAGCCAGCCATCATCGCCAAGAATGACAGCAGAGTGCCCCCTACTGGACACTTATAAGAACAGATACTACACTTGATCTTTAGCCAAAAGCCCGAGAACTGAGAATTGGCGCCAATTGTTACCTATGGCAAGACCGCAAGCACACTTTTTTTTTTTTTTAAGTCCGCAAACGTGCAGATAAGGAAAAAACCTGTAAGTGAATCACAAAAAATGTGCAAGTGTAAAACACCACACGAAAAAGTGCACTTAGGGGTGTGCTTTGTCCTTCCCCCCCCGAAGGGGATGGACCACTTACCCTGATCCTCCGGGGCACAAAGCTCCTGACAGGGACAAGGTTCCCATTTGGTCCTCCTGGCCAAAAGGCCTGGTGGACCACCGTTCCTTGTGGCCAGCCGAAGCCGGACCACACAGTACTTGGCCAGGGGGCTCTCCCGAAGAGAAAACCCCCTAGGGACAGGGGAGGAAGGAACCAAAAGGCCACACATCCTCCCCCCAGACTTCAGGGCAGGCCCGATGACCCACACCCTCCATCCGTGAGAAAAACACACACATAAGTAAAGTAAAAAGTGACAAACGTGGGAGTGAAAAATAAATAATTAAATAAATCTTATAAAAAAAAATAAAAAACTGGTACGTGCCCAAATTGTGCACTGACCAGGCCCTGAGGCTTGTAGCAAAAAAATTGCCCTGGACTTAGCCAAAAGGCCCGGTCCTAGAGGGCGCAGTGCAAAAAGAGTTTTAAACACGGTGACCATGTGTCATTCACAACATGGGGTCCCACACCCAAGTGCTACTCAGTGACACCCCTGAGAGCGTCTACTCAGGGGGCACCGTGTTTGCGGACATTTGCCTTCCAGCCCCTGGCCAGACCAAGGTAGATCCATCCAAATCAGGAGGTACTGGGTCTTTCCAGTTTTCTCAGAGGAATTACTCCCAGGGTCCCAGCTTAAATCGTGGCGCTCCCCGGTTTCTGTCCCTCCGGTACTAGCCTTCCGGACCCCCATCATACCAGTGAGGGTACTATACAACAGCCATCCCCGCAAAGCTAGAATGGCTGAGAGCACCCCCACTGGACACTGATAAGAACAGATTTTTTGATTGAAAAGATACTTTTATTACAGAAGCATCAAAAACAACATGATACGTGTAATCGGGTACATCTCACCCTGTACTGCGATGCAGCGCACCACATAGCAATACAGTTCCAAGCATACGATAAATACATTCAGAAATAAATACATTCGCTCAGCGGTATGATGCCTGACGTGATGTGCAGAGGATGAATCCCCCGACCAACACGTCATGCATGACGCCGCTTACCCTAAAAACCATAGCATCCTGATACACAGTACTAAGTCATGCAATAAACGAAAGCGAAAAAACGAAAAACCGAAAGTCACAATCTACAATAAGCATCGGGTGTGTGGGGGGGGAGGGGAAAAAAGGGGAAACACAGGCCCGAAGCTTTATTGAAGGGACAAAGACACGCAAGGGGGCCAGTAGGGGGAAGGGGAGCAATCTTCAGACGTCCTCTTCCTCCTTAAAGTCCATCAAGGAATAGTCTCTGAGCAGACTGAGGATCAGTCTGCGGCAGTCCTCAATGGACATCCTCTCCCGCTGGTGGATGAGGCGCTTTCTGGCGCACCATAAAGCGTCCTTAAAACAACACAGCACCCGCCAGGTGCCGTCAATGTCCTCCAGAGAAAAGGTTCCACAGAACAGTCCATTCAACACCCCAAAGTGAGTGATGGCTGTCTGTGGTACAAAGTCCTTGAGTTCAGGTGTCCAGGGCCCCCAACAGGGCCTGAGCAAATGAGCAAATGAGCACTCCCAGAAAACGTGAGTAGGGGTTTCCTGGGTGGGAAATGATGCAGAAGGGGCAGTGTCTGTATCTGCTCAGGTTCCTGGCATGCATAAATGATCCTGGAGAGGCATCCCCCTCTTGTTGCCTGTTGGTGAGAATGTTGGAAGAAACATTCCTCCAGACCACCTTGCAGGTGTCTGAAGAACAGTGCCTGGAACCGACTCCCCTGGGAAAATGTCGCTTGCTCTGATCAGCTTGTAAATGGTCTTTGGCTTCCACAAGTCAGGCTTGACTCCCTGCAGCCCTTGCTCCCTGATGAACTTGAAGGTATCCAAGTAGTACCAAGGAGTGTCCCAGTTGTAGGGGATGGAACTGTCCCAAGTGTCCCACCCGAGGGACCTCCAGAGAGGCAACAGGAAGAAGCGAGACATTGCGTTCCCGCCAGAGACCATAATCCATTTGGGCAAAGTTCTGCGGATGCAGTTGCAAGCAAAGAACACCCTCAGTTGGGTGGCGATGTCAGGGCAGGCAGCCCTTACCGCCCTTGAGGGAGTTCCTTGAACATGACTGCCCGCTTCACTCTGTCCATCTTGGAGCCCCAATGAAAGTGAAACACCGCCCTGGTGATGACCTTACAGGTGTAGAAACCCGTGGGGGCCAGGCCTGGGCGAGGACTGCACACAGGGAGAATCTCGGGCGATCAGGGTACCAGTGTCTTCCCTTTCGATGGTGAGGTCTCTGAAGCTCCAGTGAGTCCAAATTTCTTGTGTTTTGCACTTTTACCATTCTCTCCTGGGTCAAGACTTCAAGTAGGGGTTTTCTGGGTGGGAAATATATCAAACAAATTTGCATATTTTTTGAATAATCCCATACTTCTTGAAGGCTGAGGAAAGTTGTATGGAAATTAGTATGCAAATTAGGGTAACCATAATCCTTTGCAATTGGATCAGAACACTCTGCCTAATATTCAACAACAAAAATGGAGTATATTATATGGGCTGCTAAATAAATAAAATGATAAAATAACTAACTGTCTGCTTTTAAAAAGTATAAGGTCAGGGTACTTGTTCCTGGTCTTGCAACATTGGTAACAATTGGTATCCGAATTCTCAGTTCTCGGCCTTTTGGCTAAGGATCAAGTGTAACCGTATCTGTTCTTAATCAAATATATGGCCTGCATTACTCTCCACCAGTTTACCCCACCAAACCTTGCCCAGGTCCGCCTCCAACCCCACCCCCCACCCCAGGCCCTGCCCCCCAACCACGCCCCTTTAAAGCTTATGAAGTTTTATTTTTTTTAGAATAAAAGTCCAAAATATAATATAAAATACAGCAGAGTCCCCCCCCACTTTTGCATAAGGTGCCCCCATCAGAGGCCCCCTTTATATAATTTTTTTAGATCAGAGTTCCCCTTTACATCAGTTGCCCCCATCAGAGGCCCCTTTTATATAATGTTCCCATCCGAGTTCCCCTTTACATCAGGTGCCCCCATCAGAGGCCCCCTTATATAATATCAGGGCCTGTTCCTCATAAGTGCAACTTCCCCCTTCCCCCTTGTACTCACAGATCTTCTCATGAATGCAGCTTCTCCTTCTTTCAGTCATGTGATAAGTCACATGACAAGGGAAGAGAGAAAGGACACTCTGCCTTTGCTCCTTAGTGCTGGCTGTCTATTGCCCCCTGCAGGCAGGAGGGAGGAGAAAGCCAAATCCTCCCTCCAGCAAGTGTCAGCAGCTGTGACAGGGAAACTGCTCCGTCACTGAGGAGCGGCACCAGCAGTGCATTCCCCCCAACACAGTGCTTGTGGCAGGTTGGTGCTGCTTTTAGCACCTGCCCCCCCCCCCCCACCTTTCTGATTTGGCGCCTGGGACACACTCACCCCTCATGTTATTTTCATTAGTCAAATGCGAGCAGGCTAGTGGAAATTTCAAGCCCTGCCATAAGGCATTGCAAGATTGACAGTTACAAGCATGACTCCCAAAGGCAGAGGCATGATGGGACTTGTAGTTTTGCACCAGCTGGAGGGCTGCCAGTTTGACACCCCTGCTTTGAGAAGACAGAACCCGCCTAATTTCCTGCCTGGAAGACATCCAGCATTATCTAGTGCTTTCCCCCCAGCCTTACTGGTCCTGCCCCCACCCCCTTCATTCTTTGGAAGCTGCTTCATGTCAGATTGAACCTGCCTCATTTCTTAGCTGGAGGACATCCAGCATCATCTACTCTTTCCACCCCCCCAGCCTTACTGATCCTTCCCCGCCCCCTTGATGCTTTAGAAGTTGCTTCAAGACAGAGAGCGCGCCGCCTCATTTCCTGGCTGGAGAACTTCCAGCATCATCTAATGCTTCCTCCTCAGCCTTACTGGTCCTGGCCCCACCCCCTTTATTCTTTAGAAGCTGCTTCAAGACCGATGAGCCCGCCTCATTTCCTGGCTGGAGAACTTCCAGCATCATCTAATGCTTTCCTCCTCAGCCTTACTGGTCCTGGCCCCATCCCCTTTATTCTTTAGAAGCTGCTTCAAGACAGATAGAGCCCGCCTCATTTTTTGGTTGGAGGATGTAGTTTCGCAACAGCTGGAGGGCCGCCAGTTGACATCCCTGATCTATCCCTTTCTTCCCCGGCCTCATTGTCTTTGCCACACCCCTTTCATTCATTGGATTTGTTATATCAATAATGGGGGGTTCCGTAACATAGCATTTTCCAGACTGACATCCGCCCGTCAAGGCTTTTTTAATATTTGCAGAACTGTCTCATTGCTAGCATTGGGGTGGAGGGCTCTGAGAGGAGTACGGAGCCGGGGTACATAACTCCTCCCACCTGATGCAAGAAGAACCATCCTTCTTCTTGCATCAGGGTGGGGGCTCTCAGAGAGCAGTATGGCCAGAGTGCTGTGATGTGATTTGCATAACCCCTCCCACTTCTCAGAGAGCAGTATGGCCAGAGTGCTGTGATTTTTGCATAACTCCTCCTACTTCTCAGAGAGCAGTATGGCCAGAGTGCTGTGGTGTGATTTGCATAACTCCTCCCACTTCTCAGAGAGCAGTATGGCCAGAGTGCTGTGATGTGATTTTGCATAACTCCTCCCACTTCTTGCATCAGGGTGGAGGGCTCTCAGAGAGGAGTACGGAGCCGGGGTGCATAACTCCTTCCACCTGATGCAAGAAGAACCATCCTTCTTCTTGCATCAGGGTGGAGGGCTCTCAGAAAGCAGTATAGCCAGAGTGCTGTGATTTGCATAACTCCTCCCACTTCTTGCATCAAGGTGGAGGGCTCTCAGAGAGGAGTACGGAGCCAGGGTGCTGGGATGTGATTTGCATAACTCCTCCTAAGAGCCAGCCTACTTCTTGCATCAGGACTGTTGAGAGGAGTACTCAGGCAAGGTGCTGTGATGTGATGTACCCCTCCCACCGGCCATAATATGCCTGAATCACATAGACAAGCACAGAGGCCCAGTGATGACATCATTTCAGTTTCAATAAAAGAAATAGAAAAGTCTTGCAATTCAAGGTTACAAGCATTGCACTTGCTGTGAGTATAAGGATATAGGAAATGTAGGATTTCTAAAAACTTGACTTTTATTTTTATTTGGAGAAACAGTTTTTCTTTCTCTCAAGAAACAAAATAAAAAAAAACAAATTCTGTTCTATTACAGCCCAACGGGTGGAGGAACTGGAAGCGGCTCTGCGTAAGAAGGATGACGACATGAAAGCAATGGAAGATCGCTATAAGATCTATCTGGAGAAGGCCAGGAATGTGAGTTCCTTGTACAGAATTGTCTGCAGGAGGTCAGTCTAGGTTCACACCTACGCATTTCGCAGAAACGCACAGCAGTCCATTGAACATGATTTCCTATGGGACACGTTTGCATCTCCACGTTTTCACCCGCTGCGTTTTTGGAAAGGGTCAGGGATTTTTTTAAATGCAAAATGTTGCGTTTTGGTTCCATAAACTTCAATGGAGATGCTGCAGAATGCGTTTGACACATTTTGATGCGTTTTGTGTTTTAATCTGCCAAACAACAAGTTGAAAAAAAAAACACAAAACGCATCAAAAATACATGTGCAAAAAACGCAACACGCACCGCAAAAAGCACTGCAGAAATGGATCAATCGCAAACTGCATAGGTGTGAACCGAGACTAACACAGTGTACACAGAGAGGGTTATCTATGAAGAAAAACACATCGCTGTGTGAATGTCTCAGGCGTGTGCACAACCGGCACACATAATCCTGATCTGACTAATGTTTATATTGTAAACTGGGGACTGTGATGTAATGGGGGGACTGTGATGTAATGGGGGGACTCTGATGTAATGGAGGGACTGTGATGTAATGGGGGGACTGTGATGTAATGGGGGGACTGTGATGTAATGGGGGGACTGTGATGTAATGGGGAGACTGTGATGTAATGGAGGGAATGTGATGTAATGGGGGGATTGTGATGTAATGGGGGGACTGTGATGTAATGGGGGAGACTGTGATGTAATGGGGAGAGTGTGATGTAATGGAGGGAATGTGATGTAATGGGGAGACTGTGATGTAATGGAGGGAATGTGATGTAATGGGGATACTGTGATGTAATGGGGGGACTGTGATGTAATGGGGAGACTGTGATGTAATGGAGGGAATGTGATGTAATGGGGGGATTGTGATGTAATGGGGGGATTGTGATGTAATGGGGGGACTGTGATGTAATGGGGAGACTGTGATGTAATGGGGAGAGTGTGATGTAATGGAGGGAATGTGATGTAATGGAGGGATTGTGATGTATGGGGGAGAGTGTGATGTAATGGAGGGACTGTGATGTAATGGAGGGAATGTGATGTAATGGGGAGACTGTGATGTAATGGGGAGAGTGTGATGTAATGGAGGGACTGTGATGTAATGGAGGGAATGTGATGTAATGGGGAGACTGTGATGTAATGGAGGGACTGTGATGTAATGGAGGGAATGTGATGTAATGGGGAGACTGTGATGTAATGGAGGGACTATGATGTAATGGGGAGACTGTAATGGGGAGAGTGTGAGGTAATGAGGGGACTGTGATGTAATCAGGGGACTGTGATGTAATGGAGGGATTGGGATGTAATGAGGGGATTGTGATGTAATGAGGGGGACTGTGATGTAATGGGGAGACTGTAATGGGGAGAGTGTGAGGTAATGAGGGGACTGTGATGTAATGAGGGGACTGTGATGTAATGGAGGGATTGGGATGTAATGAGGGGATTGTGATGTAATGAGGGGACTGTGATGTAATGGGGAGACTGTGATGTAATGAGGGGACTGTGATGTAATGGAGGGACTGTGATGTAATGGGGAGACTGTGATGTAATGAGGGGACTGTGATGTAATGGAGGGACTGTGATGTAATGGGGAGAGTGTGATGTAATGAGGGGATTGTGATGTAATGAGGGGACTGTGATGTAATGGGGAGACTGTGATGTAATGAGGGGTGACTGTGATGTAATGAGGGGACTGTGATGTAATGACAGGGATTGTGATGTAATGAGGGGACTGTGATGTAATGGGGACTGTGATGTAATGAGGGGACTGTGATGTAATGGGGGACTGTGATGTAATGGGGGGGGTGAGAGTGTGATGTAATGGGGAGACTGTAATGAGGGGTGTGTGATGTAATGGAGGGATTGTGATGTAATGAGGGGACTGTGATGTAATTGGGGGATTATGATGTAAAGGGGGATGCCATGATGTAAGGGAGTGGGGATTCAAAGGAAGTGGGGGCAGTGATGCAAAGGAGGGCTGCTATTTAAAAGGGGGGGGGGTTGAGTTATAGCACGATCATGAGATTTGGAAATCTAATGGCAGGACCTCTTAAGGACTTTATGAGGGGCCCCTCTGCAAGGGTTTTTTTGTTGTTGTGTCCAGAGTTGGGCGACCCCTGAAGGTCGGATTGTCCTTGAAGTCCGGCACTAACAATGCTTCCATGATTTCTCCGCAGGTAATAAAGACTTTAGATCCCAAGCTGAACCCGGCCTCCGCGGAGATCATGTTACTGCGGAAGCAGCTGACCGAGAAGGATCGCAAGATCGAAATGCTGGAGGTAGGAGGCTCATTGTATGGGTGGGGGGAAGGGGGCGCCATGTTCTAACGGGCCGTGACAGAACCAATGTACTGTATATTTATTCTTTTTATCTTCTTTATAGAAAATGTTTTTGAAAACTGATTACCCTTCCCTACAGAGGAGGCCTGCGGGCCGTATGCATGTATACATTGTCAGATTGCGCACAGATGAGCATGTACTGCATAGTGCGCCCTGCTGATATATTATCTTGCTTGCAGTCCTGTCAGTGAAAGTTGGGCAGTTTACCGACATGGTGACTGATGGGGGCCAACAGAGAATGAACAGGGTGCATACAATCTGAAGTCATTCCAGTTTGCACAGTGTTGGTAGGCCTCTGTCTCCATAGACTACAGTGTATCACTGCAGCTTCCTACTTCTCTATTTTTGGCAACATTGTAGTGCTGCTGTGGGGCCCGAAGGTGGGAAGGCCTGTACTGCTGCCGTGGGGCCCGAAGGTGGGAAGGGTTGTACTGCTGCTGTGGGGCCCGAAGGTGGGAAGGGTTTCATTGCTGCTGTGCAGCCTAGAGGTGGGAAGGCCTGTACTGCTGCTGTGGGGCCCATAGGTGGGAAGGCTTGTACTGCTGCCGTGGGGCCCGAAGGTGGGAAGGCTTGTACTGCTGCTGTGGGGTCCGTAGGTGGGAAGGGTTGTACTGCTGTCATGGAGCCTGAAGGTGGAAGGCTTGTACAGCTGCTGTGGGGCCCGAAGGTGGGAAGGCCTGTACTGCTGCTGTAGGGCCCGAAGGTGGGAAGGCCTGTACTGCTGCTGTGGGGCCCGAAGGTGGGAAGGGTTGTACAGCTGCTGTGGGGCCTAGAGGTGGGAAGGGTTGTACAGCTGCTGTGGGGCCTGAAGGTGGGAAGGGTTGTACTGCTGCTGTGGGGCCTAGAGGTGGGAAGGCTTGTACAGCTGCTGTGGGGCCTAGAGGCGGGAAGGGTTGTACAGCTGCTATGGGGCCTGAAGGTGGGAAGGGTTGTACAGCTGCTGTGGGGCCTAGAGGCGGGAAGGCTTGTACAGCTGCTGTGGGGCCTAGAGGCGGGAAGGGTTGTACAGCTGCTATGGGGCCTGAAGGTGGGAAGGGTTGTACAGCTGCTGTGGGGCCTAGAGGTGGGAAGGGTTGTACTGCTGCTGTGGGGCCCGAAGGTGAGAAGGCTTGTACAGCTGCTGTAAAGCCTGAGGGTAGGAAGGGTTTCATTGTAGAGTTGGGAAGGGTTGTACTGCTGTTGTGGGACCCAGAGGTAGAAGGGTTGTACTGCTGCTGTGGGGCCCAAAGGTGGGAAGGGCTGTACTGCTGCTGTGAAGCCTGAGGGTAGGAAGGGTTTTATTGCAGATTTGGGAAGGGTTGTACTGCTGTTGTTTGGCCCAGAGGTAGAAGGCTTGTGCTGTTGTGGGGCCCTCCACACACCTTAAGACAGAAAATGTTTTAGCCAGAGCTTCTCCAAAAGTTTATTCCTAACTTGCCCCCCCCCCCCCCCCCCCCCCTTAGCCCCCCCCTCTCTCCTTCTAGAGTACATTCTATTTTTCTGACGACTTCTTCTTCTTTCAATCTCCTCCAGTGGAGGGCGCTCCTTGGAGTTGCAGAAAGTGACGCTCTCAGTATGAACGCACTATAAATGAAGGGTGCGGTGGTGATGCCTCCTCCTCCTGGCGGACCCATGACACCCATCATTCATAGAATACCCTCAGGTGTCATTTAGCCCAGAAGACATCTTGTGAGGACATCTTGTGGCTAAATAGAAGTACTGCGAGGGAAGACTTTGGATTTAGGGGGGATATTGCACCCCGGTTGTTCTTTTCTTGTGCCTGGCTGGGGGCCAGGATCAGAGATGAATTGCCCGGAGTCGGACTGATTTGCCTATAAACCATTTCTGTTTTTCAGAGTGACTGTCGGCAGGCGAAGCTGCGGGAATACGAGGAGAAGCTGATTGTGACAGCCTGGTACAACAAGGTACGTGGAATAATCCATCTCTGGGTGTCAGTTCTGCCCTGGGAGTCAGGATGATTGTCCACCGAAGTACAACTGAGAAGAGGGAACCTGGAGGGTTTTGTGAACTTTGGCCCCCATATCATCCCTGATTATATCTGATATCATTTCAGAGGTGTGGAACAATCTGCAGATAGAGCCCCGTCTCATTTCCTGGCTGGAGCATGTCCAGCATCATCTAGCTCTTCCCTCCCCAGCCTGACTGTCCTTGGCCCCGCCCTTTTCATTCATTGGATGTCAGTTCTTTCAATCACAGAGCTCCAGCATCACCAGTGGGTTGGGTCTTTGGACGAGCTATGCAAATATCAAAACGCGGTCATGTTATTCTGGAGGAGTGGGCGTTTTTAGGCAGGATGTATTTGCATGCAGACCAACCTAGCTAACGCCCACTGGTGATGCTGAGGGTACAGAGGCAGGGTGCTGTGGGGGGGTTTTCAGGAAGCTCTTTACAGCACCCTGCCAGCTCCTTCCACCAACCATGATCTGGCTGTGTTGCATAGAGAAGCATGGAGATCCAGTGATGGCATCACTGAGTCTAAAATAATGAAAATAGAAAGTTTTTGTTTAAAAATTTCATTAGCATGTTATTGAGGGAGGGGGGAGGAGCCAGATTAAGCTTCAGGAGCCATATGATCTCCCTCACTCTCTCTTCCTTCTCTCTCTCCCCTCTCTCTCTCCCCCCCCCCCCCCTCTCTTCCCCCCTCTCTTCCCCCTCTCTTCCCCCTCTCTCTCCCCCCCCTCTCTTCCCCCTCTCTTCCCCCCTCTCCTCCCCCCCTCTCTCCCTCCTCTCCCCCCCTCTCTCTCTCTTCCCTCTCTCTGTCCCCTCTCTCTCCTCCCCCTCTTCCTCAGCGCATATGGGACCACCCACCCCCCTCTCCAAGGGCTGCTGATCTCCGTGCAGCAGGAAGGGGGGGGAGGGGGAAGGTGTGTGCAGTCCCATACAATCTGTCAGTGTGTAATCTGGATGGATGACAGGAGGGAGAGCCAACAGCACAGCTCACCTCCTCCAGGCCCTTTCCTCTCTGGCGCTTCTCTCCCTGCTGCAGGCTGTCCCCTGGTCCTGGCTCATCACCTGCTGGAGGGAGAGATAAACGACCATCGCTCTGCAACTGCCCTCCCCCACATCAATCCTCCTGCTGTCCGCCGCTGCTCAAGAGGTCCCTTCTTCTGAGGCGGCAGTGCATCCCCCCCCCGCTAAAAATTGTCACCCTAGGCAAACGCCTTATTTGCCTCGCGGTAGATACGCCCTTGCACCCCAAAATGGAATTGTGCGACTTATAGTGAAGTCGTGCGATTTCAAAGTAGGATGACATGCCGATTTCAGGTGCGATTTCCAAGACATCTGATTCCAATGTCTATGCAAATCGCACCAAAAGTAGTGAATGTACCACTTTAGAAATCGGTGCGGCTCCGACCAAGTGGAAACCTCACCGATATGACCGCTGTAATGGCAGACAATAGGCTGCGATTTGGCATGCGATTTGCATCCAGTGTGACTTGGGTCTCAACAAAGAAAATGTATCCATTGTATATTTGTGATACGTAACCGAGCTGACATGAGTTTATCTTTGCAGAATATAGAGCACCAGAAGCTGGCAATGGAGTCCCGCTTAGCAGGACGAGGAGGGAACGGCTCCTCAGGACGATCGTTCCTGGCCCAGCAGCGCCACGTCACCAACGCCAGGAGGAACGTCTCCGTCACGGTTCACGCCGCCACTCCTAATTAAAGGGCAAACATACACACAAACCCAGAAGTGCACTTACAAGTATTTTATACCCCGCCCCCTCCCCAACCGCCCCGGCGTAGCGTCACGATCGATGAACGAGAAGGCGATGCGGGTCATCAGCTCGTGTCTCCCCCTGTGGGCACGTCATGAGATAGCAGTGGATGGCCTTCCACGATCCACTGACTGAATTCATGTCTACGTTTTATGCTTCGTGAAAGAAAAAAAAAATGTATATTTATGGCGCGACGCGCATTGTGTATGAGAAGTTCTCTTCCATTTACTAGTTTTGGTTTTAGAGGATATTTTTTAGAAGGAAATGACTTTTGCTCGGGGCGTCGGGAGCTTTGAGAACATCGGATTGTTAGCTTAGTGACCCGATCCTTGACAACGTCAGTTTCTAGAAAACTGATGGAATAGTATTTTCGGCATGTGAAATGCCCGTTGTCACGGTAACAGGGATGCTTTAATGTTTTACTTTCCGGACTTTGTAACTCTTCGGCAGTTTATTGTATATAAGTATTTTGTTTCGGCAAACGATGTGAATGTCGGAGACGGATATTTTTGTGCGAGGATCGACAGTTCGTTCAGTTTTAAAAGGGCAAAAAAAAAAAATTTTAAGATTTTTATTTTTTAATTAAAATAAGACGCACTCAGTGAAATGTAACCTTAGAAATGCAATGCGTGTAAGTCGATGAAAAGAAATATTTATTATATTCGGGGTAACACTTTTGTCTGCTTTCATAACTCCCGTTATGGGGTATCACTGGCTGGCCATCCATCTCTCGGGTGTTCTGGTCAGTTTCCGCGCCTGTGTTCCGGACTCCGTCCACTTACCGCCGTACAAGGCGCCATAGTCATTCCACAGGATTGTGTTTTCGTTTTACAGTACAGGGGGTGTGGAGCAGGGGGGTCTCCAAATTACGGCCAAATCTAGCCGGCTACAAGATTTCATCTGGCCCACAGCTAGGGTCAATGGCCGCTCATTTGGGTCTTCAGGTCTGTCTATCGCCTCTGTTTGTCCCCAGGATCCATCTCTCCCCTTCTGATCCCCAGGGGTCACTTCTGATTCTAATGGAGACCCTCATGTAAAGGGGACTCTGAAAAGGACCCTGCTGTAAGGTACAACACTGATGTAAAGGGAACTCTATTGTAAGAAGTGACTCTGATCTCAGGGGGACTCTGCTAAGAACCCTGATGTAAGGTGGGACAATGATGGGGACTCTGATATAAGGGGAACTCTGATGTAAGAGGGGACTCTGATGTTAGGGCAGAATCTAATGGGGACTCTGATGTAAGGGAGACTCTGATAGAAACCCTGATGTAAGCGGTGGCTCTAATGGGGACCATTTTGATATAAGGGGGGCTCTGATGTGAGAGGGGACTCTGAGGAGGGCTCTGATCTAAGGGGTACTCAATGGAAGAGGAGGCTCTGATCTTAGGGCAGAATCTAATGGGGACTCTGATAGAAACCCTGATGTAAGAGGTGGCTCTAATGGGGACCTTTTTGATATAAGGGGGACTCTGATAAGGACCCAGATGTAAGGTGGAGAACTGATGGAGACTATGATGTAAGGGAGGACTCAGATGGAGAGCCTGATGTAAGCTGGAACACTGATGGGGACTCTGATGTTAGGGCAGAATCTAGGGGAGGCTCTGTTGTAAGCTGGGGCACTGATGGGGACCATGAAGTAAGAGGAATGTAAGAGGGGACCATAATGGGGACCTTGGTGTAAGCGAGATTCTGATAAGGACCCTAATATAGGGTGGGGCACTGATGTGGACTCTGATGTTAGGGTAGACTTTAATGGGGACCATGATGTAAGGGGAATTCTGATAAAGACACTGATGTAAGCTAGCACATTGATGGAAACTCTGATGTAAGAGGTGGTGTTAATGGGGACCCTGATATAAGAGGGGAATCTAGTAATGACCCTGATGTAAGTTGGGGCACTGATGGGGACTCTGATGTAAGAGGTGGTGTTAATGGGGACCCTGATATAAGAGGGGAATCTAGTAATGACCCTGATGTAAGAGTTGGGGCACTGATGGGGACTCTGATGTAAGAGGGGGTTAGGGTAAACCATAATGGGGACCCTGGTGTAAGCGAGATTCTCATAAGGACCCTGATGTAAGGTGGGGCACTGATGGGGACTCTGATGTAAGAGGGGGTTAGGGTAAACCATAATGGGGACCCTGGTGTAAGCGAGATTTTCATAAGGACCCTGATGTAAGGTGGGGCACTGATGGGGACTCTGATGTAAGAGGGGGTTAGGGTAAACCATAATGGGGACCCTGGTGTAAGCGAGATTCTCATAAGGACCCTGATGTAAGGTGGGGCACTCAAGTGGAGTCTGATGTAAAGGGGGGACTCAGATGGAGAACCTGATGTAAGGGGGACTTTGATAAGGCCCATGATGTAAGGTGGGGCATTGATGGAGACTCTGATGTAAGGGGAATGCAGAGGGTCCCTGTTGAGGTATTTTAGTGTTTAAACGCTACTGGATGTCCCCATTGAAGAGATTCGGCCTCACTTCCTGTCCTGTTTGACACCCAATCAAACTTGGCCAAAATTTGGACAACAAAATATTCCCCCCCCCCCCCCCCCCCACCACCACCATTGTAAAGCCTAAAGTTTGAGCCATTCATTGAAGTCGGAAACTTTGCACCGACTTTGTTCATCGTGAAGTTTACCGAAAGTCATTTTTAGTGTGATTTTTTTTTTTTTTTTTTTTTCACTTGCTGGCTGCTCATCGTTTTCACGAGGCTGCTTGCTAAAATTTTGCATTCGTCATCAGTATCTGTCAGAGAACGATCTGAGCTAATTGACCGCCAAGAGATTCTGTTGTCAATGGCCCAGAGCACTGAGAGGAACAGTCACCCTAGGTTCACATCTGTGCGGGTGGTGCCGCTGCGGATCCGCACGAAAATCCGTGCAACCGCACCACCCGCACAGAGGAATGCGGACCCGCGGGCGGGGGCTATTAGTTCTAATGGCACGCCGCCCGCACTGGAAAACGCAACCGTACTGGGAACCTCGGCTGCGTTTTTCAAAGAAGTGCAGAGACTTCTTCCCTGCGTGTCACGGGGCACGGGAGTCCATTCAAATGAATGTGCTCTCATGCCCACGCAAAACACGGCCCACATATATGTGAACCGGGGGTTAAAGGATAAGTCCACCGATTCTAACATGTTACACCCTTACCCTACGTTCACACCTAAGCGCTTTCTGCAGCATTTTGCAGTAACGTAGCACAGTCCGTTTAACATGATATCCTATGGGACAGGTTCACGTCTCGGTATATAATAAAGTGCAGCGCTTAATTAAATCAGTCAATGATATGATCGGGGTATAATCCAAATATAAAATAGTTTGTAGATATATGATGAGATGTGATCCAGAAGTGAGCAGAAATCAATATGCTGGCGCTCGGAAGAAATGGTAAAATTGCGCACTCACCAGATGCGCATAGGACATACGCATTAATATATCCACTTAGGGTGTGAGGTATGGTAGGTGTGTGATGATCTTCCTTCAAGGGATAGGGCAGCACAGCAGTAAATAGGTGAAGTCTGCTCGTCCAGAGGTCCCCTTTAGGATGGATGGGTCTGCAACCTGCTTACAGGGATTCCCTCCTCTGGGTATTGGATCAATCAGGAAATTCCACTGGCTCTGTAATTTAATGGCTCCATAAAAGAGCCATAAAAAAGGGGCCCATAGTGTAGTATTCTTTTAAACTTTTGTTCCATGGAAACATGTAGTACAGTAATGCAGAGTAAACTGACCAGGGGCAGACTGACCATTAGAGCACTTGGGCACTGCCCGAGGGCCCAGGGTCAGTAGGGGCCCCATGAAATGCCCCTGGTACCTATTATAGGCTTTTTTGGGTGTGCTTTGAGTGTGGTCAAGGACACAGGGGCCCCATGATCCCCTATTGCCCAGGGGCCCCATGAGTTGTCAGTCCTCCCCTGAAACTGACCATACACAAAGATGGCCGCCGGACCTGCACGTGGCTCCGGCGGAGTGACGTCACGGCGTGTTGATTCCTCCTTAGGCCTTTCGTGCCACGCACGTCCTCAGAGGGGAGATCAACTCCCATCTCTGCATTCTCACCCGGTGCGTCTTTTTTTGGAAAGGGTCGGGGACTTTTTTTGAACGTAAAACTTTTGAGTTTTTGGTTCTATAGACTTCAGTGGGAACGCTGCAGAAAAGCATGTATTGCGTTTTTCTGTTTGAAATCTGCCTAGCAACAAGAAAACAAAAACAAAACAAAACCGCAAAACGCGGCAAAGACGCAACGCAATGCAGAAACGCATCAAACGCAACCTGCATAGTGTGTGAACCTAGACGTATTCAGGGTGCAACATGTTAGTGCGTAGGGTGGGTGAACGTCCCCTGTAGCTGGTGTATGTGAATGGTATAAAAGATTTATTTATTTCAGGTACTTATATAGCACCGCCAATTCACACAGCACTTTACATATTCACATCAGTCCCTAACCCTCAAGGGGCGTACAATCTAAGGTCCCTAACCCTCAAGGGGCGTACAATCTAAGGTCCCTAACCCTCGAGGGGCGTACAATCTAAGGTCCCTAACCCTCGAGGGGCGTACAATCTAAGGTCCCTAACCCTCGAGGGGCGTACAATCTAAGGTCCCTAACCCTCAAGGGGCGTACAATCTAAGGTCCCTAACCCTCAAGGGGAGTACAATCTAAGGTCCCTAACTCACATTCATACATACACATACTAGGGACAATTTAAACAGGATCCAGGCACAGGGAGAACATGCAAACTCCAGGCCATGGCTGGGATTTGAACCAACAACCCAGTACTGCCAGGCAGAAGTGCTAACCACTTAGCCACTGTGCTGCCCATAAGATGTCCTTGTTTAGGTTTCACAAAGACAAGAGTTGGTGGAGCGCTGGACCCAAAGGTAGGTATAATCATGCGAGGCAGGTCTCTATAAGGGGGGAATCTGTAGGGGGTATCCCTATAGGTTCCCT